GTCTGTGGGCACGGCAGCGTTGTTGTTTGGTCGGGAGCCTCTCTCTGTGAAACATGTTCTCACCCTTTTGTGAAGATGGAACAAGTGTAACATCTCTGACTCCTGTGTTTTTACAGAGTGCCATGCGTGTTACCACAGCAGCTGCTTCCGAACGGGCAAAGGCTGTCCTCGATGTCGGCGGCTGGCAGAGCGGAGAGAGAGGATGGCTCGCAAAAACATGGAGGAGCAAGAGGACGAGGGAGGCGGGCCCTAGTGCCGGTAACGGAAAGACACTCTGAGACTGAAGAAAAGCACAATGCGACCATGATTGTAGTGACTGACCACCTCTCGTTGTGTTCCAGTCCTCTCACACCTGGGGGACAATACTGCAAAGCAATGTTTTCATCTCAAGAGATGCAGGTTTTACATCAGTGCATCAGTTGTGTGGCTACTGTTGATGTTCAGATACATTTAGTGTAAGCTGGTCTCCTTTCACACATGCACTTTACTCTGTGAGTAGTGGTAGTTTTGTCTGTCGGCGTAATTTAAGAATAGGAGTCGATTTTTTTCCATGAAAATGTTGTGACTTAAAGAGAAATTGCTCAGGCGTTGCAATTTATAACCGAGATTTCTTTAAAAATACTCAACATTTTTTCTTTAACTTGAGATTGGCTCATGCTTAATATTTCATTTAAAAAAAAAAAAAATTGTATTTAAACACATTTTGTTGCACATAAGAAGTAAAAGTATCGGAAAAAGACACGACCCTTCTGACTTACAGGAGTATTTTATGCTGGCCAGTTCCACCTACATGTGTGAAGAGGACCCGATATTCACGTTTTGGCACTTCTTTTCCATTGTGGTAAATCTACTATATTTGGGATTTAACTAGATCATAAAAACAAGTATTTGCTCCATTGTACCCAGGTTTAATATTCCTCCTTCCTTCAATTGCAGCTTTTGGCAACGGCTTCAGTTTTGGGTATTTTATTGGCTACTGGCTTAGCTGAAGTTTGTTTGTGTGGCCTGAAATGGCAGGATCTATTATTTAAAAAAAAAAAAAATAACAAATAGCAAGTAAAAAGTTTAAATATCTTTTATGTTTTGACTGATTCTTTTCAGTGCAGATACTGTATTTGAGCAATCCTGCCCCTTTTTTTTTATAGATTTTATTTGAAGATATTGAAGGTGTTAACCCTTTCTTTCCCCCGCTCCTACTGTCCCGTCTTTAGCCGCGCTTATGTGCCTCTGGGACCAATGAACTAAGACTGGCAGAGCTAGTGGAGTTACATTGGAAAGCTGAGTTTATAGAAGGACTGGACTTCTGAGTTTCAGTCAGTGTTGCAAATATATGAAACTGTAAAAGCTCCATTTTTGTGCTGCTTGAGTGAGTGAGTTTATTAGAAAAAGGTGTGTGTGTGTGTGTGTGTGTGTGTGTGTGTGTGTGTGTGTGTGTGTGTGTGTGTGTGTGCGCGCGCACATGTAGTCATGCACTAAAGGTTTGCACCAGCCTAATCAGCACTTGTTTCTAACGTCGCAGATTTTGGAATAATAGAGTCGAGTTAATTGCACTGATCCGTCTGTTGTTGTTGTTGTTGTTGTTGTTGTTGTTGTTGGGGAGGCAGGTTGGGACATCACTCTTTAGGTGATGTTCGTTTTAAGAACATGAACCTTGAATGCAGTACATTATGAAGGGGTTCAGGCCAAAATAACAAAGCCACAATTTAATGAATAAGTCGTACTCTTAACTTGCTGCAACATAATTATCTAAATGCATTATTCACCTCTTGGACTGAAATGCTTCATATTTAATTGGGCCTTTTGTCCAACAGATCTTAGTCTAGCACAGTGCTTCCCAACCTAATTGGCCCTTAAAAGAATATGTTTAAGTTTTGTAAACTATGTCAGGCAAATGAGTAACTGGGGCCAGCAGCTGGTTAGCTTAGCTTAACTTAGTTTAAAGACTTGAAACGGGGGGAACCAGCTCAAGCCTTGGTTATATAAAAAAACATGCCTGTCAGCACTTCTAAAGCTCACTAATTGAACCAAACCGCATGTTTTCTTTCTCAGATTGTTTTATTTGAGTGATATCTAGAGGCCCCAAAGGATAAAAGTATTTCACAGGTACAAAGAAATTGTGGAAAAGTGTGAAAAAGAGCTTTACTAAACAAATGTTTTGATTTTGATTTTTTTTGTTATTTCCTGCACTTTAAATCATCCGGTGACCCCTCAGACACATTTGGGACCCCAATTGTATGTGTACCAACCTCCTTAAAGGATGAGTCTCCAGAGTACATACCGTCCTTTGTGTGAACAATCCGTCACGAGGTCAACTCATGAGAACTTAAGGCAATATGTGTGATATTCATGTCCCTAAGCCCGCACAGCCGAGCATTGAAGAGATGAACTGCAGCCGTGTCTTCAGGCTGCTTTTCAGAGGAAACACTGAGCTCTTTAATGATGTGACCGCTCGACTCCACTGACGAGACTCCTTAACTCAGCAGACTGCCTTTAAAGTGGAGAGGTTCAAAGTGCACTACAGATTAAAGTGTCTGTTATAAAGAATGTTAATTATTGTTAATATAATTATTTGTGTTGATTTGTCTTTGTTCTGTAATTGACAATAAAAGACTGGCCAGACTGTTGATGAGGGTTGTTGTTGTTTTTCTGTGCTGATAAAAAAAAAGTCGTCAAACTAATCTTAGTGCTAAAATGAAGTAGTGCGGCTACTAACTATATACTAACTCTAATAATTATTTCTATTCAGAGCCTAATGTGACTTTCTCACATTTGAAAACCTGGAACCACAAGATATTTGGCATTTTTGTGCCCGTCGGTCCGGTCCGTTCTGTTGAACGCAATATTTCAGGAACGCCTGTTTGGACGAACAAATTTGGCACAAGCGTCAGATTAACTGCTGAAAGATTGGTGTGACCTCACGTCCGTCCCATTCTGGTGAATGCAATAGGAACGCATTGACAGAATTTCTTCAAATTAGTTGTGTTCACCTGCACTAATGGTTGAGCTAATTAGAATTTGGTGGTCAACGGTCACTGTGACCTCATATAACACACGTTTTTGTGGCCATGACTCAAGAATTGATATGGTCATTATGACAATTCCACAAAAATGTCTAATGGGATCAAATGAAAAAGTGATGACACTTTGGACAGATGTGTGTGTAAACGACAACATGACGTTGGACAAATACAGATGCGCGGTGGTAATTTAGCTCTCAAAAAATGACAAATTATTATCAAAATATTTGCAGATTAACTGACCAACCATTTTAGAGCTAAACTGAAGTTCGTTGAAAAAGACTGACTTCCTTCGCTCTGACAGTTCACTTAATTATGATATGCTATTTGGTGCAATCTACTATACAGATAGAAACTGATCACGTTTTCACCAGTTTTCCCATGAACCCCCCCCCCCGAAAAAAACCCCTGCAGTATTATTATTAATATAATCAATGATCTTTATTAAGCACAGTGATAAAGTACTCAGATATTTTACTGAAGTATAAGTAGCGATAACACGGCGGAGAAATACTGTTACAAGTCATACAGAAGTATAAGCATCAAAATGTACTTAAAGTACTAATTATGGAGAAGTCAATTTCTGAAAAGTGTATATTATATCATTGTATTATGATTATTGCTGCATTCATGTGCACATCACTTTAATGTTGCAGAATGACAAAGCTAAAGGTTTGCATGCTGACCTTAGCGTTTAGCTCAAAGCACCAATGTATGGTAGCAGACTGGTTTTGGCAACTTTCATCACCATTTTCAATTGAGTAAGTTTGACAAATTATAGTCAATGTATGTGGAGAAATGGAGTGTTAAAAAACCCATCTGTATTAAATGCAAGATGGGATAATTTCAGCAAAGCCACTGAGAGATGGCACAAGCGGGAGTTAAAAAACTTTCAAATTCTTGTCTAAAATTGTGGTCACAACAGCATATGATCTCAACAGCAGCAACTCTACCAACGTTTTCCATTTTCGACCCTCTAGTTAAATCATACTGCGTACGAGTTCAGGATCCAGATGCATATGATGGTGATGAAACTGACAACCATGAAGACAACGTAAAAGCCAAACAGCAGACGGTCGATGACCGCCCCGACCATTTGCCATTGCGGCACGGTGTTGCTCCCTGTGAAGTGTTTGTCCATCTGAAGGCGGATGGCCAAGAGATCTCTGCTCAGTTTCCTCAGTTCCTCCAAGGCCGGGTTCAGAGGGGTCGGTTGGGGTTTCGCTGGAGGTGTATCACCAGAGACACGCTGAAGATGAAATGCTGAGATGTTGGTGATGCTGGAATTCTGTGCTGGTTCTGTCAAAAACAAAGAACATAATTTAACAGTCATATAAAGCATTTAATCCATTAAATGTCACCTGGGGCTTCAAAGGATTTCACTACCAACTCCCTGCAAACGGCGTCGAACTAAATCAATTGCCTCACCAACTTTCTCGTGCCTTTCACAGTTGATGTCAACGAATAATAATGATATACCTGTAGTATATGGGTTGGAGAAAAAAGTGGTTCGGTTGCTGTTTTTCTTTCGAGGGAGACAAACTACAACAGCTAGATATCGTAGCACGAGGACATCGATCCAGTGAGGCACCGCATTGTACTGTCTGGGGCTGTACTGGATGTTCGTGATACACACGGTCTCCAACAGGCTGGCCACCATGAGAGCGAGACTGGTGGCGAAGAAAATGTCTGCAAGAAACAAAACAAAGCAAAACAAAGCTCTTCGCTTTAAAAGCACATGTGCAGCAGTGAATTTCATGATCCTTTCACCTTATTATTATTTGGAATAAAGTAGGTCACAATATCAGAGGTGTCACTCACTGATGAGAGGTGTTGTCTCTCCAGGGACAGGCAGCAGGTCGTTCATGATGAGCAGGAAGACGGAGTAGCCCAGGATGAGGGTCATCTTAAAGGAGGATCGGTCCACACTATCAGGAGGCAGCAGGAAGCTGAAGATGTCCACTGTGATGAGGAAGCAGCTGGGAATCAGGAGGTTCACCACGTAGAGGAGTGGCCTCCGTCTCAGAATGATCTTAGGAAGAGACACAAGTACAACGCCTTAACAAAACCATGTGTGGACAGACAGCCAGGGTGCTCCTCCTGGGCTCAGCATGCTAAGCCTCTTTTCTATTGCATGCTACACTATACCATCACTAATGTTGTGTGCGTGGCCAGAACTGCCCCCACGGTGCGCTACCATTTCAGATAATTCTGACTAGACACAAAATAAAAACGGGGACACTGAATGTTTTGATTATTTAGATATTTCACTTTTTATCTACTGTACTAAGTCAACTATTCAATTACAAGGGTTAAGGAAAGTGCAGGTTATGTACAAAGAAGATGAAGTACTTATGTCCTCACCGAAAAAAAACCCCATCATTAGATACAACTGTCATTTTCTCATTAGAGGCAGCAATCATAGAACATTGTTCAGATAAAGTTTTAATTTCATCTTTGCGTGACTTGCTTGTGTCTGGGTCTGATGAATCACCAGAAGCTAAACTGAGACTATGGAAGGAAGATATACGTAGATGGCGAAATATCTTCAGAAGACTGGCATGAGGCTCAGAGACAGACAGTCAACAGCAGCCTGAAACTTATACGCGGCTGATTCTTACAGACATAACTACTGATAAATTGCATTAAGTGTAATGGTAACATTCCTGATAGAGGGACACTGCTACTGTATATGGGAATGTTTGAAAACAAAATCCTTTTGGCAAAATATTGTTAATATGGTGGATCAAGTCTTATCAAAGAAATGACCACTGCATCCTAAGCTTTTTATTCTGGGTATATCTTATCAACCAACACTTACAAAGCAAAGAGTTAAGAATTGTCGATATATATATATATATATATATATTGCAAGCGCAACGTAAAATTGATCCTAATCGGACCATGGATAGTAATCTGGGTTGCTGTTTTTCACTTCACAATTTGATGCGATTTGCAAACTGAAAAACCAATAAATATATTGCAAAAAAAGTGCTTACGTAGTATACGATCTGATAGTAGCTTCCCTCATCTAATGCCAGGGTAAAAGGAGCTACACTGATAACGACGAGCTCCCACTCCCCGTCAGTCTTCAACACATCTTGGGACTCCTTCAGTATCTCTTCAGATGTGGAGCCTTGAATCAGCCTTATGTCTGTACCTTGAATAACATTTAATTGCATATTCAAAAGGGCTTTTCAGCACAACAGACAAAACTGAGGCCAAGTGTAACCTTGTGTCACACACACATTCATTGGCCAACACTTAAAGCAGGTAAAAAGAACAATTAAAAAGAGTTGATATCACTCAACTCTTTTTAATTCACTTCAGGCCCTATTTAAACACGATCGGTGCTTACACCAGACCTTTTGTAGTATACAAAGTTGCTGCAGTGATTTTATAGATTCACACAGTTAAAAGATCTGACTTTTCAAGAACTGTAATTTATATTTAAGCAGGCTTACCAAAGTGTAGATATGATCCAAAGGTCAGAGAGCAGTTTTGGATATCGAAGGGGAAAGTGTAGATTACTAATCGGCAGGAGCTGACCACTCGGACGGGCTTATCATCATATACATGACCTGTGTTGTGTAAGTAGACATAGGGAGTTTTGGGAGAATTGTCCTCTTCCATGCTGAAATAGAAAAGAAAACTCATTCGAATTATGAATTAATAAATGAATCCAAGAGAGAAATACGATGACAGCGTGCTGTTTTTATTGCCTGTCAATTTTTCAATATTTATTAATATTTGTGTTAAGGAAACAGAACCTGTCAGACGCATGCTGCAGTCAAATGAGAGGTTTTCTACAGGGACTCTGGTGCTGGGAAACACTACCACTTTCGTCCACAGGGCCCGTCAAAATCAACACAAAATGAAAGTTCATTGTACTGGCTTTAGCTAAAATTAGTTGGTCTTTTTATACCAAAAAAAAGTCATAGTTTTAGCATTTTTTTTTTAAACGGGGCATCAAGTAGATTCGTAGAACGATTGCTTTCCAAGGCGGATTTCTCTGATTTGGACAACAATTTGAAAAAGCTCACAGACTTCTAAACAGCCTTTTAACTTACAACTCTGAGATATGGATGTCTGGGACCCAAAGCTTTTCACGAGGGACAGAGACCAGTTTAGTGCCACATTCCTCCTCATCCCAGCTCAGGTCCTCAATGTCCCACTCCTACAGTAAACAGAACAACACCGATGTGATGAACAGCTTAGGAAATGCCATTCATTTCAGCTTTGTCACTACATAAACGAACAAAATAAAAGTATGACTTTTCATCCAAAACACCTATTGTCACCATCATTTTAGGGTAAAAAAATACATGACATTTTAACATTTTGCACAGTTGAGTCACAAGCTAATCAACAATAACAAGTAAGTTTACTTCAGTTTAAGGTTAATTTTAGTCCAGTTTAGTCATTTCAAACAAGTAGGCATGTACTTCAACTAACATTCAACAGCAAATCTCTGACTTTGGCGCCCCCCAGTGGGAATATAAAAAGACACCTACTGCTTGAATTAGCTTATTTTTCTACAAACAAAAACGAATGCAATTCTGATCATTTTAAAGATGATGTAATCACATAAATCTGCACAGTCTTCTGAGAACTTACTAAAACTCGCCATAAGAGAGTTGTCAGCGTCTGGGATTTTTCATCCTGTGGATGAAACGCATGTTTTGAATAAATTATAGTACAGATTAATTATGAATTTGAATTAATGACTATGAACAAGTCTGTGTAGACTCACCACTCCTATAATTCCCACCACAGTGATACCAATGGTTATGTTAGTTGGAATTGAAAAGCTTTTCACAGGTCGCAGTAGTTTTTTAGGGAATAAATTCTTCTCAAATGCAGCAAACAAAGATTCAGGAGTTGGGCTTGTGCAAGTCAATGTTGCTACAAAACCTGGATTTGAAGAGAAAGTAGAAAACAAAAGCTGTGAAATAACTCACATATATGGGCACATGGAAGTATGTAAGTAAGTCCCATTCTTTGATTGTTTACAGAGGCATTACGGATCTTTATCTGCTGTACAGCAGGGAAGTCAAGATTGGCTGTGGTTACAATAGCTTTTGAACCCTGGTATCTTGAGATCACAATTGAATTATCACGTTGTTTTCTCGTGATAACAAGCTAATTACTATGAAAAACCTCAATCTTTAATGCAAGATAAATGCCCAAAGCCCAGAGTGGGTGCATTTGATTGTTCGTGGCTGGATGGTATTTTCAGGGCACATCCAGAAACACGGCTTCAGGATAAGCAATCATGGCCACCACATAGACTCATCTCACCTGCTTAAAATGGATTATAACATGATAATTAAGACATGACCCAGAGATAATGGGATCAAATTGAATTACTGGCCGAATGAAAAACATAGATTTAAGGGCTTCAGTCACTAAACTGCCTCTGAATACATCTGAAAACTCGGATACCTTCAGTCACATTTGTATGTCTGTCTGACACTGACGGGGCTCATAATTATTAATAGTTAATAAACACCAGTCAGAGAGTTTTTTTCCCCACAACCTGACAACACAAATGTTCTTATTAATGGCTTGTAACTGGGCTATGAACTAGCCTATACGTATATGACAAATTAATTATGAATTACCTTTGCAGCATCTCTTTGTCCCTCATTTCCTGTTATCTCACTACCGTCAATAAGAAAGCCATAAACATATTTAATAAGATATATTTATTTAGAATTTTAATCTAATTTATAACGGTTGCTTTATTGACTAGATAGGTAGCACTGTTTTTTACGTCAGAATTGTGCCTGATTCCTGATTTTCTTTTGGAAAATAAAAGCTGGAAATATAAAATTAATGTTTCATACAGTCGAGGACTGAAATAGTATTTATTAATGTGCCATGTAGCCGTCATAAACTAATTTAGTCAACTGTGTATTACATAATTTAAGGAAACCAACAGCAAATAATATTTGTTTTCTTGTGTACCAGACGGTACATTTTAAATAAATCTTCATCAGTATCATGTATTTGAATGAGGTTCCCACTGTACAGGACCAGAAGTAACTGATGTACCCCTGTAACTACAAACTTTACCACTGTTCAGCTTTTATCTTTTTTGCATACTTTGTGGAAAGTCAAATTGTCTTACCGTGAAGCAGCATGAAACAGATGGAGATGAGCTCAGTGGGCTTCACATCTTTCATTTTCACTCTCAGTTAAGCCTTTATCACTTTTATTAAGTGCCTCAGATTATGAAACAAAAAAAGGCAGCAGTCTCCTCCATGAGATTGAGATGATCTGCCAGAGCAACATCTATTTCTATACAATCAAAAATGAAATGTGTAACCTCCTCCAGAGGCTAATATTGACTCTCGAGTATAGTTAACTGCAGCATGACTAACTATAATCCTTTAGGGTATACCCAGTTGCTTGCAGAGAACCACTTATTTGATGGCTGTGTTTGCCTAATAATCAATGTTTGGATAGTACAACAGGTTTCTCAATCATCTTCATGTAGATTTATTTTAGATTGTATTATATTCGTGTCGGTTGAAGTCAGGCAAGCACAACAGTATGCACTTGGCTGGTGGCTGTGCCAGTTTGCCTATCGGCTGTTTCAACAGAATGGCATTGCTTGTCAACATTTTGGGTCCGTGTTAATTTCCTGTCAGTTTATGTCATTCACATCGACAACAAGAAATACAAAAAAAGTAAGAATGTTCATTACGTCACAGAACTCCCATTGGTGCCGACATTGAGATGAAAGGCACCGCCGCCTCCTCTCTTATGACTTGCCATTTTGACAGGTTATTACCCGGGATGTCAGAATCATCAGTAATTTGTTGTATTGTATATTAACGTTTGATACATTGACTGGTGTATATTTCCTCAGAAAGCTTATACACTTTTTATTTATTTGAGCTAAATGCAGCCGCTGGACAGAGCCATCATCTGTTTGGAGACCAATAACAAGGAAAACAAATATGCACATTTAGATAAACAAATATCGGTCAATATCACATGTGTTGTTTTTATATTTGTGTGGAAACATTTTCAGTCAAAGGTGAAACAATACAGATATGAAAGGTTATAGTGGGACTTGCCATGCCTGCTTCATTCACTTTAATAGAATGGGCCCAACATTTGTCCATTATCAGAAATGAATGGCCACCCTGCAGCCAATCAGAATCGAGTACTCACCCTGACCACGGTGTAAGAAACCTTATTACAATTCACCTTAAGTGGGAACATAAATGTCTGCACCAAATTTCATAGCAATCCATCCAATTTAGTGGATAGGTCAAAGAAACACAGGACTTTACACAAGGAAGCTGCTGTTTGTGGCCCTTGTGAAACTAAAAGTAAACACAGACTTATTTTGTTACGTTTATTTTTGACTAAACGTATAACTTCCTATAAAGTTTATTTTGAAAGGGAATGGAGCCCACCGATTGCCTTTAATTGTAGCATGACAGGAATAACAGAGAGTCATATTATCACATATTAGAATACTACTGTCTTGCATTATTTGATATGGTGCATACAAGTTGAGTAATAGAGGTCCAAGATTTTTGATCACCAATGTCCACAAGATACCCCGTTCTTTTGAGATATGAGCTGAACCAACTGAGCACAGTACCAGATAATCCAACAGATTGTTTTATATTCAAGAAGTTGATGAACAAAAACTGCTTCCTCAATCATTTTCCCAATAAAGTGATTATTCAATAGAGACCAGAATGCACCCTTTAAGAAGGAACTAAATAACTGCAGGACACACCTCTAGGACACAAAACTAAGCAGTACTGCAAAATGAAATACAGAAAACCAACATTACCAGAAACAATAAGTACAATACAGATTAGGACTGGCTGATCCAGACGCACCACATGGAGATGATGACCAGCGCGTAACAGGAGATGAGCAGCAGATAGATGCGGAAGAGCAGGAAGTCCAGGACATATCCTACGTGGCACCACTGGTCCAGCAGCTCGCTCTCCTTGTGCATCGAGGTGAGGTGGGCATGGAGGTCTCCCAGGTATTGACAGATCTGTTGTAGTTCAGGCAGAGCAGCTGCACCTGGTGATAGGAGGGATCACAGTTTTCAACGATTGTGTTGCTGCCTGAAGTTAAGGTTCAATAACCTTAACTTGTTAATAACCTTAAGATGACTGTGATTCACTGTAGAAATTCTGTCATTATATTAACCTATCTGACATACTGAGTCTTTGTTTAAATAGATGGCCGCTAGTATTTTTCAGGGCCAGGCCACTGGGCAGCAGTTGGCAAAAGTAATGGCACAGTAGTATTTGCCATTTACTGAGTTTGATTACCTCTGCTGCTGGTTGGGTCCTGGGCAGGTGTCTGGCTGGCTGGTTGGATGATCCACAACCCAGAATTGACATTTGAAATTTCCGGTTCATCCTTCTGTGGCGTAGTGGGGGGCTGGACGTCCTCCGTCCATCGGTAACAGATGAGGTTGGCTATGTGTTTGAGCACTACCACCCTTACCCAGTTTGGAACCTCTTTATATTTCATGGAGTTGTGGTGGAGGACATTGGTAATGATGACCGTCTCCAACAGGCTGATGACCATGAGGGCCAGACACACAGAGAAATAGATACCTATACACATAGGGTACACATTAAAGGCACATGTAAAACATCTTTCTTCAGCGGCAGAAGACAGCCAGAATATATCTGCAGAAAGTTGACAGAGCTGTTGGTCCGTTCCATTGACTCAGTGATTTCTCTTTATCTCTCTAAACTAAAGCAAAGAACCCTTTGATTGCATGCTTTCTAAAACTGATGACTGTTGTATTGACACAACAAGATTAAACAGGTTTGATGTATATGCCACTGTATGTCCTATACAATTTATTTATATCTCCCATAATCATCTCAGTAACTGTAAGTAACCTTTACATGTCAACGCCTCTGACCTATGAGGGGTGTGCCGTTTGCTGTGCTGGGCAGCAGGTCGTTCATGATGAGCAGGAAGACGGTGTAGCCCAGGATGAGAGTCATCTTGAAGGAGGCGCGGTCAACGCTATGGGGGGGCAGGTAGAAGGACAGGATGTCGATGAGCATGAGGAAGGAGCTGGGGATCAGCAGATTGACCACGTAGAGCACCGGCCGCCGCTTTATGACCACCTAGTGAACAAGAGTCATTTTGAAAAGTCTCATCACCTTTACTGTGTGTAGGACAACCTTTATGGAACATAACATAACACAATAACATATATCACATCTACATATATCAAAACTATCTAAGGAGGGAAATATGCATTCATGAGAGCAGTGTGAGTGAGCCAAAACGGTAGCTTACGTTTTATTTACAGCTGTTATATTTGCTCGCATAAGAGTAGTAAACTCAGTTAAACTCTCCTCACCCAGAAGGTGATAATGTCCCATTCGTCGATCCCAAACTGGAGGATGGAGGTCTCTCCCAGTAGGTCCACCAGTTCCCACTCCCCACTGGCTTCCAGGTAACGCTTTGAGTTTCGAGACATCTCCTGAAAGGTCAAAGCTGGACTGAGCCTCACATCCCTTACTGTGAAAGTGAAAAACACAACGAGAGGGAAAACTAGTCAGACAGTTCTATAGCCCAATCTAAATAAGTAAGTTAAATGTAATAACTAATTAATTACATAATGATTTATGTTTTTGTTCTCTTTTTCCTTATATATTTCCTTTTATTCTCAGCAAAAGACTCCAAAAGTGAAACAGATAGCAGTTGCATTTTCTGACCCACTAGCAGCTTTATGTTTTAGTTGTCAAAGTGTAGCCAATGACTGGAGTACTTTATGATTGCGTAAATGTTAAGAAGCCTCTTCTTACTAGTATGCATGTAGGAGCCGAATGTAAATGAGCAATTCTGCATGTCGAAAGGAAAACTGAAGATCTCCAGGTTGCAGGCTGAGACGAGCCGAAGCATCCTGTCCCAGCGGATGTGACCCGTGTGGTTGAGGTAGACGTAAGGGCACGCTTGGGAAACATCGTCATCCACACTGGGAGGGTTGTAGGAGTCCGGCAGTAAAAGAAATAAATAGAAACAGATTAAAGTCTCAAAGGAAAACAAAAACATGGATTAAAATCACTTTCACAACTTTTCTGCTCTCTCAGCTTCCCATACTGTATTGTCAGTCATGTTTTGTGTGTATGTGTGTGGTCGGTCCTGGACTTCTGTATCCGGATCAGTAATATTGGGGACCGGAGATTTTTGACTGTGTATCAACTTCTGGAGTACGTCCATCCCAGATCCCGTGATGGACATCACTGTCACTCCCTAAGACCCTGGCACGTTTGTTTCTTCAACACAGGACACAATGTCCGGAGGAGGACCACAACCTGTGGCAACCTCTTGGCATCATTTTGACCAATGGCAGACGTCTTTGTGTCCGGAGAGAAACTGCACTGTTGAGGATGATGTTGCACCCCCCCAGGGAGATGATGTACTTGCGAATGTGTTGCCTTTGGGACTGATGTATGTGCTGCCACATCAGGGAGCGATGACAAATCTGGTTCACAAGATCAGGACACAGCAGTTGCCATTTTAGTATCATCAGATTGTCACTGTACCAGCTTGCATCTATAGACCTAGTTTAGATGGGACTCAAAGGTCTTTAGCAGCTCCCAGATGTGTCAGGAACTCTGGTTTAGGCAGGAGGCGTGGTCTCCTCTGGTCCAGATCTGTGTCAGCACCTCTTGGTTGGAGCTGAATGGATTATTCTATAATGGTGGCCACTATTCATAGTGTGTAAGCGGTCTAGGGCTTATGGGGTTCATTGTTCACTGTTGGTGAGTTGGCGCAGAACATTACTCAGTGACAGTGGCATTTTACAGGAAGTGAATGGGTGGTAAGTGCACCCATCTGTATCGGGGTACTAACTACTTTGTAATGAGTTGTTTAGTTAGTGTGTACTATAATGTCAGTGATCCATAAAAAATATATAAAAGCAACCAACTGGATAACTTACAACTCATAAACTATGATGTCTGGAGACCAGAGCTTCTCCACAGGGAGAGAAATCCTGGTGACACCGTCACACTCATCAGGGTCCCAAACCAGGAACTCGTGCTGCCAGAACTGCAGTGAATTAATCAGATATCTGTGTTTACATATAATGTCTGTATGTGATGATGAATCAGATCACATTACATTTATTGAAAGTGTATTATGTCTTTCCATGCAACTTACCTGTCTCAGCCACAAGAAAGTAGTGAGTATTTGGGTTTTCTCATTCTGAAATACAGTAGGCAACATGTTAACCTCATGTGAAGCTGATCACTACCTCTTCAATCAGGTTAGAGTTAAGACTAAAAATGCAATGGTATATAAATATATGTCTACTATTCCCTCAAAACGTCTGGTTTTTGATGCTGTTAGTATTTTTCTAATATCACTAACTGACAAACTCACCACCCCCAGAACAGCATACAGGGTGAAGGAGATGTTAGCTATGGTGGGATTGCTGAGGTTCACTGCTGGCCTGAAGGGTTTTAGGTCAAACACAGCCTGCATGGACTCATGGGTTGGACCACTGTGGCCTTCTTTACAGGACAGTTTACTGCAACATAGAGACACTGACCGGACCAGAAAGTTAGTTTAGAATTATCATTGTGTCAATATCCGAACATTACTTTGCGTAATGATGATTATAGGACAAATGCGTTCACAATGACATCCTTTAATTACTAGAAGATGTTCTTCAATCATAATGTAATGACTCAAATTTGTGGAACCATTATAATATAATGTGAAATAAAGTGGATAAATGAATGACACATTTATGTTTTTCCTCCATTTATACATTCTCATATGCAAGCAATTCAAATTTGTCCAGGCAAAACAGTAGAGATGACATCAGCATCATTGCACTGTAAGGATCATTTAAACTTGAAACAGGCAGGATAAACTTTAAAATATTATTACTACAATAATAACAGCATTGCTTGTTATTCACTGAAAGAGGAACGTTTAAGTTTCAGAGCTAAACATGAGTCAGTCTGGTAAATAAAACGCGAACACAGCTAGAAACAATCAAGTAGGGATTAAAAGTTTATCATTACCTGACATTAAGAGTAAACCTGAGATGATGCTGATACTCCTCATGCTCGGTGTTTCTGATGGACTAACTATCCTCCACAACCAACGATGTAATAAGGTGTAAAGCCAAGAGAGCTCCTACTGGCAGGGTAAATGCACACACACTTGTTTTTGCCACTTAGCAGGACATTGAAATGACGAACATGAATTCTCTGGAGACTTAACCACAACCACTAGATGCATATGCATATATATATATATATATATATATATATATATATATATATATAGTTGCCCAAGTAAGTTAAAAAATTGTGGATACGTTTAGTTTAAAAAAAAAAAACCAAGTAAAATAAGTTGGTTTAAACTTTCATATTGCAAATAAGTACATGAGGATGACTCAATTATATAAATACATAAATGAACAGTAAAGAAAAACACACAAAATTGAGGTATGTGCAGATGGATCATAAACATCCAGCACACGATAGGACTTGTTGTTCCACACCTCCGGTAAGCACTCAACCATTTTATTTTTCAACACCTCCACCGATGGGAGTTACAATCTGTTCCCTTCTCCGGCGCTGTGGTGTCGAACCACCTGCTTATTTTACTTTTATGCTATTTTATAATCCTGTGACTTAGTAATCAACAGCCAACATACTGTCACGAAGTCTGCCTCAGTTCTGCTTTTACTGTCACTGAGTAATGTTCTGCGCCAACTCACCAACAGTGAACAATGAACCCCATAAGCCCTAGACCGCTTACACACTATGAATAGTGGCCACCATTATAGAATCTTGATTTGTTTCTATGTCCGAGGGTTCTTCATAAAAAGACATTTCTGAATTTTAAAAAATAAGTTATTTTTCTTGGCTGTCTATCAATCAATCAACCAACCAAGCAATCGTAAGCAATGGATGACAAAATCCACTGCCCTCGTTGCTTATATGCCTAATGCATGTCTATCTTCTTTTAAATCAATAACTGCTAATATTTAAAAAAAGTTTGTAAACTAAACCTGCAAAGAACAACAAGACGGCAGTTCTGACTTAACAACACAAGATGCACCTCTAGATTAAACTGGACCGAATTGGGGCGGGGGAGTTATTTGTGAGGCAAATTTCTACATTTTATTTTGTTTCTTCTGCAGTAAAAAGTTTAAATTTGAATCCAGAAATACCACGTTATTATTATTTTCATTTTATCTTTCTAACTGTAAGCTGCAAGCCGATCAAACCTTTGCTGATGGTCAGTATAATTGTGTGATTATTGTGTGATTACACTCCCATCACGTTACTCCACATACATATGATGGTGATAAAGCAGACAGAGATGAAGACGGTCAATGACTGTCCTGACCATTTGCCATTCCTGCGAGCTTTTGCTCCCCTGGAAGTGTTTGTCTATCTGGAGGCGGACGGCCTTGATATCTCTGCTCAGCCTCCTCAGTTCATCCAGGGTCGGGTCCAGAGTGGGTTTCACTGGAGGTGTATCACCATAGTCGCTGTGAAGATCTCTTGTAGAAATGATGGTGGTATTTACGAAAAAAAAAAAGATCAAGATCAATAGTGTGATGGTGTGCCACATTGTTTTTTTTGGTTTTTTTTTAAAGCCAGGTACTAGTAATGCTGAAGCTGATGACCAAAATACAAATAAATATGAAATCAGCAACTAGACATCCTGCCTTAAAATGGAGCAAGAAATAAAAGTTAATTATCTAAGTACATTATATAATATGTAACAGCAAATATAAAATTGGCTGAAAAATATGGGTTTAAATTGAGCAGTTGATTCAAAGACATTCCCTACTACTATTAAGCAATGACCCTCTTAGATATTGTTGCTGTGCCTGTCAAGAAGTCCAATTTATTACTGAACTGCAGCAAAACAATTATAATGGTGGTAGATTTACATTCAAAGTTATCAGAAACTTCTAAAACAATGGGTCTTCAAACTGAAGCAGACCTCTCATTTCTAGATGAGTGTGAATTCTGTCGGTTGAAATGATTTCATCAGCTGCAGCTAAGTAGTGTCAGCTATTACTGACTTTGAAACTCCTGGGTCCAGATTCTTAAAACTCTGTGTAGATTCAAAATTAAATTAAATCAAAGTATTTTCAGAATGCTATGCAGCTTTTAAAGATAATAATTAAATAAGTGAAATTGGCATACAACCTAAAAACAAGGTTACCCATCTCGCAACTTGTATTAAATTCCCTCATTATCATATCACCCGGTTCTATCTCAGCCGACAAAGGCATTTGGTCAAGAAGAACGGTATATAAAACAAATAGCAGAACCTCTAAGGTAAGGGCCATAATTTGATTTATCTACTTATATCAGAGGTGTCACTCACTGATGAGAGGTGTCGTCTCCCCAGTGAGAGGCAGCAGGTCGTTCATGATGATCAGGAAGATGGTGTAGCCCAGGATGAGGGTCATCTTAAAGGAGATTGTAAATACGAATGGGACAGCACTTTGCTGCAAACTATCACGTTATTATTACAACGTCAGAAAATGTTAACTACAATTGTGTGCAGCAGCAGCAGGAAGTGACGCCACACAAACACAGCTGTTTACCTCTCGCTGCCCGGTTCTTGTGTTAAAAATGTCCGCTTAATAATGAAAAAACAAACTGCGTTAACGCGCGATAATATAATTATCGGCGTTAATTAATGAATGCGTTAACGCGATAATAACGCGTTAACTTGCCCAGCACTATTTTTTTGTCATGCTTTCAACATGCGTCATATCATCTTCATGAAGTGTAAATTCATTGAGCAAATTGCCATTTTGTCACACACTGAAAATAATGTTTGATCTACTCCACTTCTTTGTTTTCGCTCTCATTTTGGCCATGCTCGATGGATTGCCATGACATATGGTACACATTCTTGCACATTGTTGAATTGTAATAGTTTGGAAATCCCTCAAAACTTTTCGTCTACTAGTTAATTGTGAAGGCCGATTAAATCGATTTTTGATTTAGAATCGAAATCGTGAAACCCCTCATCCCAATAACTGGATATATGGTTTCATCACGGTGTGATTCCATTGAAAGACAGTAAAATATCATATTTTATTATTGCTCATCCCTATGCTGCGCATATGTTTGTCGACTTGGTGAAGACATTTTCTTAATCCTGTGCATTTGTTGTCAAATTGAGGCTGACCATGTGTGACTTGTCGAATTGGTAATGTTTTAAAAATGCTGCCCATGTGTTGTTGAATTGGTGAAGATGTTTTCTTAATTTCTTTCTGTTGTGTCAATTTGAATGTGTTTTCTGTAATTGCAGTGCGTTGAGCTCTCGGGGCCACCACAGTTAACGTGGCTCTGGACTCTTGACATATGTTGTATTGTCTCAGAATACATACTATGGGAACTCAGTGGTTTATGGTTTATGGAAAGCTGTTTATTTTTTCTGTAACACATCTTACTGGGTTTAAGTCTTTCTGATATCACAAACGGCACAAGTTCATAATGTATTTATGAATGTGCCATAAAACTGTTATACAACTCATATCCAGTCACACGTACAACAGGTTTAAAATTCAAGGCGGCAATCATCATACTATATAAAACTCTACTGTGTATTTTTTAAATATGTTATACAGTAGCTTTTCTCTTGCTCATTGATGTATGAATACAAAGTGAGAAAATACATTTCTCGCTTGTTTTATTATGTATTTATAATATTTTTTTTACAAATCATCTTGAAACTTTAAGTCTCTTAAAACATTACTGTGGGAAAATGTGTCTTCCAGCTTTTAACAGATCATCTTCCATCAATATTCTTTATTTTACTAATTTAGTAGATAGACAGCAGTGAAAAAACGATAAAGATGAGCCCGGCTGCCTTTACCACTGTCATCTTGTTTGTGTCAGCTCAACCTACATAACAAACAAAGGGTCTCAGTCAGCATAACTCGTCTTTCCCGTCTGAATTATTTGCATGCATGTCTTGTTTGTCCAAGCAACTGTGTTGATAAATTTAAGTAACTAACTAATTGAGTCACTTCATGATATTGTTTAAATGACGATAACCTGTTTTTTATTGTAACCACCTTTATATAAGTCACTTTTTCATAACCGTAGGAATTGAAGAAGCTACGACATAGATGGCGTCCTGATCATTGACTGTATATAAGAAGTGGAAGTGGATATTTCCTCTGATAATAATCGTGATATCAAAATTCCATATTGTGACATCCCTAATGGTAATCAAATACAAAGATTACTCTCAAAATTAACGTTTTTTTTACAATGGCAGGTACAATTGAGGTGTAACATTACATGTTAATATGAAAATGAAATGCAAAGAAGGAACTGGAACAGTTTATGTTTGGAATATCTTGTCTTTTAATGCTTCACATTACAGAGACGTATTGTCCTGGGTCCCGTTTCCCAACAAGTTAAGAGAGTGTTTTCCACTCTAGGTACGAGACATTTGCTAAACTACGATCATCTTTGTCATCAAGGGTGTTTTCAATTAAGATGCTTTTTGGAAACACCAGGCTTAAAAGATAAAAAAAGGATCTCACAATCACCCTAGCCTTTATATGCTTCTGGGAAACGAGGCCCTGTACATCACCTCAGGAAAAATGGCAAATAGAAGAACTTGTAAGACACGTATGTTTTGTCCTCTTTACAAGAATCCTCCAGGGTAGAGTGATGACTGTAGTTCGGATTGTTTGTACAAGTATGCAATTATGTGTCGCGTGACTGACAATGCTGGAGAAAAGTCAACAGGAGTTACGAAATCTCTCTAGATGTTTATTTTAGAGCCTCAGTGCCCTAAAACTTAACTGTTAAACAGTTAAATAACACAAAACATCAAATTGAATTGTGAAAGAGGGACAGTTCAGTGGAGAGATGTACCGTAGCATTATAACTTTCAAATGCAACAACTTGACCAACCTTCACAATTCTTGTAGTAGTAGTAGTAGTAATTGACGATGAATATGAGAAAGCATGTTAACAAATATTAATTCAGAAATTCCCCCCTCAAATACGAAAAAAGAAACAAACTTGAAAGCAAAATCAGGATGTGTTGTTTGACTGCATCCAGATGATGATGATGGTAATGAAGCTGACTGATATGAAGAGGATGTAGAAGCAGAACAGCAGGCGGTCTATGATGAAGCCCACCTGGATCCACTCTTCCGAGCCCTGGCGTTCACCGAGCCGTTGCTTCACCTGAAGGCAGATGGCTTGGAGGTCGCTGCCGAGGCTCCTCAGCTCCTGCCAGACCATTTCCTTATCCAGCGGTCCTTTCTGTTGTGAAACCTCGCTGTCCTCTGCCACCAGAGAAGAGACTTTCATTTCTGTTGTAGAGGATATGAAGAGATAGGTGATGGCAACTGGGCCTGTTTATATTGACTTGCGCAAAAGTTTTTTGCGCAAGTCTTTCTTGCATAGTTTCACATCCCAAATCTTACATACTACCTTGTGCAGCAGGATTTCGGATGACTGTGTCCTCTCGATCTCTGGGCTTGGGAGGAAGCCGTACCAGGCGGCCCAGGATGTGAAGAACGAACACTCTAATCCAACGAGGGACTGGAGAGTAGTGAACGGAGCCGCACAGCAGGTTTGTGATGAGGATAGTCTCCAGTAGACTAGCCGCCATAAGAGCCAGGCACAGACACAGGAACACATCTGGGATACAACCAAGGACATAAACGTAAACAACAGTGAAACCTAATTCAATCTGCTCTTTTTGCAGTCTCATCCACCGCTGCTATGTTTACACAAGCACAGCACGCACCATCGGCCAGAAGCTTTTTAAAGAAAAACTGCATCTGCTGGCTGAGACAAAGCAACTTGGTTGACAGAAGACGGAGGGCAGAGAGTCTGTATTCAGAAATTCATTTTATATTTGTTTCCAGTGAGATATTAATTACTTTATATTCTGTTATATATATATATTATCTTTAGCTGTTAAATGCTTCACTGTTATCACTAGCTAGTGGCTAACTTTGTCTGACTGGTGTTTGATGCTAGCCAGGTAGTTCACAGAAAGTTTACTGAAAACAGCTGCATCATTGAATTTTTGGCTTCAAGTGACTTTTGCAGTAGTGGAGGGTATTGTCAACTGACTTATGAGAGGTATGGTGTTTCCAGTGATGGGCAGCAGGTCGTTCATGATGAGCAGGAAGACGGTGTAGCCCAGGATCAGTGTCATCTTGAAGGAGGAACGGTCCACATTCTGGGGAGGCAGCAGGAAGCTGAAGAGGTCCACTGTGATGAGGAAGCAGCTGGGGATCAGCAGGTTCACCACATAGAGCGTGGCCCGGCGCCTTACTGACACCTGTAGCGGTGCCGAAAAATATACAGCAGCTGGTAAACCACACTTCTTAATTTAGATTTGTACAGAACAGAACTAATTACATGTTTAACTGTTTTACTCAATTTTACACTGCCTGAAAAGATGTCTCTAAGAAGTTTTGTTATATTTGAAATGCTCGGAAAAATATTATTTGAGTCAAGTTTTGATTAAATTATTACAAAAAGTTCAAAATGCGGATACAAAATCATCACAATTAAGAGCATCTAGCAAGTGAAAGTTAAAACAATGCATCCCAGAACACAGACTTTACATTTGAACACAGCATACAAGACTTTACTGTCAATTTCTGAGGTGAAAAAAACGTATAGTTTGGAGAGTTTAATACCTCCAGTATTATGGTTTTGTTAATATGTTAATATGACTTTGTATGATGATGGTCATGTATCCTCAGTAGGGTAACTGTTAATATTCCCTGTGATGGATTCATATTTTCATTGTTATATTTAACATTATACACTTCCTGTAGTAAAATATTTGGTGACGTAGACTAAAAGACCTCCCAAAATACTTCAATCCGGCACCTCCTTCTCTTCATCTAATCTTTTGTGTTGTGTAGCATACAATAAGGTTACAGTCTACAATATTTCCTTACAAAGAAGCGCATCTCTTGGTACATTCCTTCACTCCCAGCTGGTAGTAGGTATGTCTTCACTGTGAGTCCAACTAGTTCCCACTCGCCCATAGTTGTCATCACTTTTTTAGAGTATTTTAATATATCTGATGCATTTGATGATCGGTCTAGCTGCAGAGAAGATACTGAAATCAAAATATAATATCGTCAATGCTTTGGTGAGATTTCATCCTTATAATGCCATTAGTAACAAAAATGTCTATCTGCATCATTCAATTGACAGAAGTGCATTAAAACGATTAAAAAAAAACATATCAATCTGTATATCTCAAGTATTGTGTAGATCTGTTTCTACTTACGACTGTGTATGTAGGAGTTGAAGCTTAAACTGCAGTTCTGGATGTCAAATGGAAACGTGTAGATGTCGAGGCTGCAGGAGCTGACCACTCTGACAGGCTGATGATCCATCACCAAGCCGTCAGAATACAGATAGCTGTATGGGACAAATGGAGCTGAGTTCTTCTCCATACTACAGGACGAAAACAAACAGAAGCCGGTAAATATGATTGGTAATATCTACTTTCTGTGTAAAAATACGAATAGCTATGTTTGTAAAATACACTTTGCACATTAAAGGCCTTCTCAGTAACATACACAAACATATGTACAGCAGGTTTTAAGTTAAACATAAGTTCATGACGTATGTGTTTTGTCTTAAAAGAAGACCCAATAGGTTTTGGCTCTGCGCTAAAACACTGAATTTAAATTTAAACAATGCTTTTCTGACAGAAAGAAGTATTTATAAGTACAGCTCTGATGTGTGGCGGTCAATCAAGGTCAGGCGTACATAGTACATACAGATGTGTATAAAGTCAACCCACAAATACGGCTGCACTGTGATGGTACTTACAATTCATTTATGACGATATCGGGACCCCAGAGCAGTTTCCTTGGAATTGTAATCCGTGAAGTACCGCACTGTTCTGGGTCCCATCTGACAAACTCGTTCCGCCATCTCTGCAGCATGAATCAGACAGATGCAACACAAACTACTGAGTATAAAACTACAGCTATCAGGTGAACAACAGTATTGTCTTTATTCTTTTTGACTGTAAACATTTCGGTTTGCCAATGATAAGTTACTATATTCTTCCAAGTTGTTTTCGGTAGATAACATCATGTAGTATCTAGTGTTTTGTTGCTGGTATACAGTAGGATCTGCCCAAAAACTTGATCTAAGATCCAAACTGACAACTTCCACGTTTTTCCGATTCTCAAGCGTGGAAAGAGGTGAACAATTGTATTGTTGCTGGTAACTGAGAAGGTGATTTTAAAGAAAGTACTTACTAACTTTTGCCATATATATGTTTTCAGGACTTGGGCCTTTTCATCCTGAAAAAAAACAACAACAACATTCAGTCATATGCATTCCTTCTTCCTACAGACATTTTCTTTCATTGAAAGACATTATAGATACTGACAAAGATTACATGAAACTGTCCTGTTGGCTGGCACAACCACAGTAAAGTTGTTGAACTTAGAAACAAAATCAGTTTAAAAAAAATGATTCATAGTTTAATTTAAGAAGGCTTTTAGACTGAGAAGCTATGGAACATGGCCTAGGAGTGAGTTGGTTTTAGGGTAATGTATGGTCTCTTACCACCCCCAAAATGCTAAAAAGGATGAAGTCAATGCTGACGATGGTGGGGGTTGATGCATTCATGACAGGTCGAATGGAGCTGAGTTTGAAGACAGGTTGGAGAGCTTCCAGCAGGGAAGGCGGGTTTGGTTGAGAGCAGTTCAGCATGACAGAACTGCAAGGAGCTACGGAGGAATACATTAATCACAGTTACGATTGTTGAGCAGATTAGCTGCACCAACTAGCAGCAAGTAATGGTACTTCCCAACTGCATGAATTAAAAAAAAACAAAAATTGTATCATAACATAAGTAACCTGGTCAAAGTACGTGTCCTTAAAGAACATAACAGATGTTCTTTCTTTTTTAATTAATAAATGAATGCTCACAAATTAGTTTGTAACAGCAACTTCACTTTGTTGATAAAACAAGTGCCTTTTTAACAGAAATATCTAGCCTTTAATTGGAAGGACATTAAATCATCTACTGATAAAATGAGATAATGTTCAACAAATATGAACAAATATATTTTTTCTTTACTTGATTGTACACAGTGGCCTCGCTAAACCATCACAACAACTCAATGAATATAAAACTTTTGACTTCCTCTACGATATAGATCATTGCATACAGTAGGAGCTGTACTTACCATGCATGAGCACAGAGATGATGAAGATGAATAGAACCTTAGCAGGCTTGACTTTCCGCGGGCAGCACTAAAGACATTAACATTGGGCCAAAAGGGATTGTTAGTCTGAGTGGTGTGCTGGTGTTTAGGGCTGTCCTGTAAAGTTGTCTACATACATTTTAGGTGGCAAATACAGACACAATATATGGCAAAACTATAATTGTCCTTGTTAATGTACAGTAAGTGCATTTAAAGACCTAAATCTAAAGGTTAGTTGATTCCAAATGTGGCATGTCAGAAAAGCCCTGAATCGCACAAAGTCACAAAAGTAGGAAACCATCAGAAAATATCCAGAAATAAAAGAGTTATTTTTTTTAAGATCCAAAAGGGAAAGTGTGACTTTTTTAAAGGTTGCCAACATTAATGCTGCTTACATAAATGTTTAACCCTCCTGCTTACATCTTGGGGAGTTCTGCATATAAAGTTACATGCAAGATATTCAGGCTACTTTAAAACTAACTACATGTAGTTTGGACACAGGATACACTAAATTGCCAAAAGTTTGGAGACGTATGTTGGGTTAGGGCTTCTTGGTTTTAAGGGACATGCTGATGGAACAACATTCAATGATAATTTAGACAACAGTACCCTAACACTAACCTCAACCTTCCCAAACCTTTAGGATGACTGAGTCGAGCCTTATTGCGCAATATCAGCCTGACCTCAGTAACACAGCAATGTTTCAAAATCTTGTGATTGAATGCCCACATTAAAGATGAACCGATACTGATTCCAAAAGCTTGATTCGTTATCTGACGTCATTATTTGAATAAATAACAATTCAGTACATTTATGTCTATGTATTTAGTTGTTCTATTTTCTTTTTGACGAAGTTAGCAAAGCACTTTTTAAGTCAAGCCTGATGTTGCCTGACACACAAAAGAATGATCCCAGTCACTTCCACACAGTAAGGCAGAGAGCTTATTAATTAATTTAACACTGGTATCGGATATCGGGTCGGTACTTGGTATTGGCCAATACCCAAAGCTCGGTGCATCCCTAGTCCACATACTTTTGGCCATGTAGTTTACCCTTTTTAGTGTACTGAAGGATTTGTTCACTCTGTGTGACTAGAGGAATGATTGTCACCTTGATTTTTAAAAACGGTCTTTCGTTAGTTATTTCATAATTTTAAAGATTTGCTTTGTGTAATATGATTCTACAATAGAATATAGAATAATAAACTGGCATTAAAATGAATAAATAAATAGGAAAACAATTCGAACATGATTATTATATTTGAAATGAATATCAATCGAAAACTGAAAGAATCTTTTCAAGTAATTTTATTTTGTATACAATGTTTTCCTCCATTTTAGAATGGCACAATATAACACAGAAGGCTTCTACATCTGATTAGAGTTAATTGAATGTCCAATACGGATAATAGGACCATTTGCTATTATTAATAAAACAATAACTTTAGAGTATGTAAATATGTCTCGGCTCCAAACTAAACAACAAAATGATTATGTTTTGTTCAAATTCAACATACGTTTAAGTTACTTGCTACATAAATGGAGCCGCTCAAAACAGACAGCAGTTGTCTACTGACTGTATGAGTTCACCCACATAATGATGATGGTAATGAAGCTGACTGATATGAAGAAGATGTAGAGGCCGAACAGCAGGCGGTCTATGATGAAACCCACCTGGATCCAGTCCTCCGAGCACTGGCTTCCACCCAGCTTCTCCACCTGGAGGCGGATGGCCTGGAGGTTCTTGCCCAAGCTCCTCAGCTCCTGAAGGGACTTGTCCTCCACCACTGGACCCATCTCCTCAGAAAGCTTATCATCAGGTTTTTGCTGTGCCACCACAACGTTGGGTTTCATCTCTAGTTTTCAAGGGGAAAAAGTTTAAATTAATAACAAATATGATTACATCGACTCCTACAATGTGGTGAATGCGTATAAACAATCATGCTGATCCATCGGATTTACTTTGCACTGTATATCAAGTCATATTCTGTATTAATATATTTCTAAATTTCAAATGTATATTTAATCACCTGAATCTCCTGGTTTTTTAGTTTTCTGAGGCATGCAAACAAGACGGCCCAGAATTTGCAGAACAAGCACTTCGATCAAGCGAGGGACGGGTGAGAAGTCAGCCGAGCCGCACAGCAGGTTGGTGATGAGGATAGTCTCCAGTAGACTGGCCACCATCAGAGCCAGGCAGATAGAGAAGAACACATCTGCCAGAAAGAGAGACAGGGGAGAGGGCTCAGAATGTTTTTTATTATTTACAGTAAATCATACAGAGGACAGCTGCCTATGCTGGTCAAAAATGAAAACCTCTCTGTAACCCTTCTGGAAATGCACATGTAAATTATATGTAAATCAGAACATTGTTTGCCCTCAGTATCTGTTTGTGGAATAAGGCATGGAAATCAAAATTGCAGCCAATTTTAACAATTGTCCATAGTTTACACTTTTGACCATAAGATAGCTGTCAGTCTACACTCCACATGCAGCAGCTCATCTACTGATTCAAAAGATGAATGATGCTTCTCAGTAACAACTAGAGCAACAGCAGAATGCAACAAATACATCTAAAAGCAAGATACAGATGTAACGGGTTTCAGTCAATAGAGTCTGAATAACACTCACTTATGAGAGGTATGGTGTTTCCAGTGATGGGCAGCAGGTCGTTCATGATGAGCAGGAAGACGGTGTAGCCCAGGATCAGTGTCATCTTGAAGGAGGAACGGTCCACATTCTGGGGAGGCAGCAGGAAGCTGAAGAGGTCCACTGTGATGAGGAAGCAGCTGGGGATCAGCAGGTTCACCACATAGAGCGTGGCCCGGCGCCTCACTCTGACCTGTAGAGGTAAGTTACAAAACACAATGTCAGCTACCCATTCTGTGCACATTTGAAAACTGAGCATTTCAACTTTAAACGTCATAACTCCATGTCCACATACAGTATATTTACCTCAGCTGCACAATTAAGGATTTGAATGGGACTGATATTTATAATGGGACGAACGCAAGTCAAACGTTTTGGACAGAATGATGAAGAAAATTAAGAAATTTCACAGCATAAATGTGCTTGTTTCAAACCCAATACTCTTTTAATCTGAGACTGAAATGTAATTTCAGGTGCAATATTTGCAATTTACAGACAACCAACCTACATGAAATATAAGCTCATCAATGTAATCATCATTAAATTCTTTGCGGTGATCATTGGAGGTGATATCCAGCAGCTCCCACTCCCCCATGGTGGTCATCACCTTCCTGGAGATCTTTGTTATGTCAACTGCATCCCTCCCCAGGGAAATCTTTATGTCACTCGCTGGGAATAGAAGGAATAGAGAAATATAATATCCCGTAAAGTCAAGGTCACATTACATATCCACTACATATTACATAAATATAGGAATTCATAGTTTAACTAAATGAATATATATTATTTATATCTTATTAAAATGTGTTGTCTGTCACAAGCTTATCACTGTAAACTTCGAATGAAAAGTGTTCTAGATATTCCTCCCTCCCACATTTTCAATAATCATCAGATCAATCCATTTTCAATTACTCTAAAACAGCAGATGCCATGGTGCATCAACAATAAAACATGAGTCAGCACACATCACACAATAGTCTTGTTACAGTTTAACTTTGAATTCCTTCACAACAAACACATTTTATTGATTACATGATTATTTACGAGTTTTTCTCCCCTTTGTAAGTGGCCATTAAATAGGAAAAAAAGCACACTTTGGTGTCCCAAAATAGAAGTTTACACCATTACAGCTAAACGTGCTTTACTGCTCACAATAGGGACAAAGATGACTTGCTGACCATTACATTTATATTCATGTTTTTCCAAGACAGCATACAAAAGTCTATAAAGACAGGAAACAAGACATTTGGGGAAGTGGCTTACCAAAGTGGATGTAGGAGTTGAAAGTCATAGTGCAGTTCTGTATATCGAAGGGAAAGGTGTAGATATCGAGGTTACAGGAGCTGACAACTCTGAGTGGTTTAGAATCGTGCACCCTACCATTGCTATGCAGGTACACGTATGGGACAGAAGGGGCTCTGTTTTCATCCATACTGCAAGACAGAAACAAGCAGAGGAGTTATAAGTGAAACATTGGCAAAATGACACCATGGCACCTTTCATTATTTTAATTTACAAAATTACAAAATTAAAAAAAATGAATTCATCCATCTAACAAATATTGCATGTTTCGCCACAACATGAAAACACATAAATGAGTCACTCGGTTGTGTGACATTTTCCTTAATTACAGCAAACAAGTGCACTGTAGTGTATTTTGAGTTAATCCCAAATACATTGTGCTGCTTCCAGAAATACTCTCTAGACTAGACCACTACATGTGTATTAATGCACGGATAAAAATAGTTCAAAATTAAAAATGCACTATTTACTCCAGTAACATTTGGTAAAAACTACTGTGCCCAGCTGGTTTGGGAAATTATTCAACAATTTAAAAAACTTTGCATCTCTAATGTGGTTTAGTTTTACATATGATATACAAATAATATATACTCACAATTCATTGATAACAATATCTGGCCCCCAAAACAGGGTTCTGGGAAGAGAAACCCTGTCGGTGCCGCACTGGATTGGGTCCCAGCTGACAAACTCGTTCATCCACCACTAAAACCACAAAGCTGGTGTCAGTGCACAGAGCAGGTCGTATAAGTAATAATCACGTCAGTCACCCAAAAATTATCCCACAATTATTTCTACATCACTGACTGAGAAATATGAACATGGATGATTGCAGTACATACATAATATAGCCAAAGGTAAGTGAGCAAGAGTTGAGCCTTTTCATCCTGGAAGACAAGAAAACCTGCGTTAAGACACAAAAACAGTGACCGTGTTTCTAATGTGTGTTTTGGGGACCAACTTCCTCAAGGAAGTCTCAGTGGAGCCCAGAAATATAATGGAGTGGGTTACTCAGTATACAGTATAATGCTACTTATTTGTATCTACTGAGAGCTGAAACATACCACTCCTAGTATCCCATACATGGTGAACATTGTGGTGACGTTGGTGCTGGTTGTCATGTTCATGACGGGTCGTATGGAGCTCAGGTTAAAGACTGGACGCAGAGCTTCCAGCAGGGCGGGTTGGTTCGGCTGAGAGCAGTTCACCTTGATGGCGCTGCACACAGCTGAAGGGAAGATTAAAAAACTGGAAAGTTAAGCCGTAAACATGTTTGGCTTATTTTTAACAAAACTGCAGACCTGCAACTAACAAAATGGATTGAAAAATAAGGAGGTTGTCTCAACATTAGTTACCAGTAATCATTGGGATTTCTATTAACTTGTTTCCAATTTAATGCAGAATACAAAGAAATGTAAGTCTTCAAGTAGTTGTTGTACAGTATTGCACATAGGTTACATTTTACGTTGTATAATTGGTGGTGCAGTGCACATTCTCCTAAGCTATTTCATTTTTTATAACCTTGTTGCTTATCTTCATTGCAAAAAACATTTGATATAAGAATGCCTAATACTCGATATTGTGCTGACCAAAAAGCTTACCTGGCATAAGAATGAGAATGATGACCACAGTGGACAAGACTGATGGAGGGAGGCACTAGAATAACATAGTTACAAAAAAACGTTTTAATTTAAACAAACATTAAAACTATTAATTATGGATTGTTTAGGAAAAGGTTATCAGTTACAGAAAAGATGCATTATAACTGATGCTGTAGTTAGCCTCTGAAATAACACGTCATAACATACAGAATATGCACCAGGAGAAGATACTTTACCTTTGGTGTCATGATGGCAAGAGTCCAATCTTCCTACAGTCGTCTGATTAAAGCCGTTTCTTCAGTATCGCGTCTGGAGAACACACAGATTAGTAATCGCACTGCTTTATTGGAAAATGTGCTTTTAGTTGCAAATTGCATGAACATTGCATGAGAGTTGCCTGTCCATAAATAACCATTGTCAGACAGCAAAGGCATACTCTCCACTTACCTGGCAATCTCACTCTTGCAAGACTAAATTCAGCCTCAGTGGCCAAGATATACATAGTGCCAGGGTAAAGCTAGCGTGATGTGGACAAACCCCTGGCAAATGAAGTGGGAAATGGAAAACGCTGCACGGCAGCTACTTTCCCTGTCGGTGGTTTCATACAAAACAAAGTTAATGTATTCTACCAGAATGTGTGACTTGCAGAAGGTGAAGACTGACCACAGTGGCATCAGTGTCACACCTGCTGGTCCTATGCAAATAAAGAGTGGGTGGCCTGTGAGAAACATGTGTCCTCTGGTGTCCCCTTAAACCTCCTGCCAACCAACTATTTTCCATTTTATATTAAAGTTGTCAGTCAAAATGAACCAGGTTGTACAACTTTGCCCCAACACGCAATGCTTGTGCAAGCCAACCTTTCTTTATATTGTGTAATTGCTGTTCAACAATTTGTCACAATTTGGTACTCTTACGGAATTAGTGTTGATTACAAATGTGCAGAAATAGTCATTTTAAGCCTCATGCATTGAAATTGGATCTGTTATGAATGACACTGCTTCCTGTCCGTCACGTACACGCACCACCTCTGTGCATCTCCTGTTAATGAAGTGTGGGGGACACTCTCTCTTCATTTCTTCTGTTGGAAATGTAGGACATCAATTCCTGTGTGCCAAAGACACGTTGCAGCGGCATGCATACAAAAAGAATAAACCTACTGTATGCATAATATCCCCATTTCTACATTCCACCTGCTCATGTCCAAATATAATATTTGATATTTAAGTATTGTACTGTTTACAGATCAGTTTACCTCATTGACTCCTTTATACATACTTTCAATGTCAGAATTCATTGACAGGCCTCCTTCCTCTCGACGACTTTTTTGAAAAAAATAAAAAATACACTCGGTACAAATCACGAGTACATTTAGATTATTGTTTGTATATGCTTTATTTGTCCATCACATTTCTGTTGATAAGATGATGAGGCTTGTTTAATGCCTTGTAGCAGATATATTAATATTTTAAAGACCACTGTCTACCAACAAGAATAAATCTAAAAGTTTACATGCTTAATAAATATGATAGAGGGCACAATCCAATGAAATATTATATATACAATTATTATTGTATTATATAATTTATGATTAGCTTATAAGAGTAATTATTATTCTTTTAAATAAACAAAAAGGCTACCTTAATAGCAACACAAGCTCAGTCCCTTGTACAGATGCCTTGCATACAGGCCTCACAATGATCAGGCTCATGGGGGCTTTTGACATCCACGCTTACAAAAGGCCTGTTTACTTTGCCCAGGTTTTCATGGTAGCATTTTATTCTGATCTTCTCCACCAGCTTCTCCAGGAGGATGTCGATGTTCTCTGGGGTGATGCTGGGCCTTTCCATTGGGGCGTCACTGCACGTCTTGCAGTTCTGACGGAAGGGCCTCACTTTGACAACGCCCTGCCCGTTTGACAGGCACATGTGGAAGACCACCATCACCCGGTTGGAAGGCCAGCTTCTTCCACAGTCAGAGCATTCAAACCTTAAAAATGACAGATGACCCAAGTTAAAACTGGCCCTTTAGCAAAATGATACTCTTTCTCTGCCGTTCAAGTGTTACCAGATCATTTCTTCCCTCAATATAACACTGGACATAACGTCATAGAGTATTAACAACATTCATTTCCATTACCCTAACTTGATCCTTATTCTTACCCTAAAATTTAGACGTATACATTGCGCACCAGTTTTGGTCCCCAAATCAGACATATTTTTGTTGACATTACTTCAGTATTACAAGTACATATGTGAACAAAACTTAATAAACCAAATATGCCCCCTAAACTACCATTTATTTTAACTTAAGATACACCATACTGTATATACACATGACAACACTACACTAATTAAAAGTAGTCCAACACACTGACCTGGCACATGTGTTCCGAATGTACTGCTCCCAGCCAGAGTTCGGGCTGTCAGGCACAAGACTGTCATCAAACTGCAGACACCAGGAGTCTCCTTGTTTAAGAATATTTGCTTTAATCTGGAAGACAGGTGTCCACTCTGACAGTGCCATCCTTTCGGTGCCAGTAGTGCTGGTGGCTGAAGACGAAGAGACTAAACACTGACAGCTGATCTGCACAGTATACAAGCAACTTGTGAGAATGACGTATCATGCCTTGGTTGAGAGACTATGACTCGACAAATAGAGAATTCAAGGAAAAGTAAACTTAAAAGTACTGTGACTCTGCCAATAGAGAGTTTAAAGGAAATGAAAATGAAAGATACTGTGACTCTACCAATAGAGAGTTTGAGGAAAATGAAACTTAAAAGTAGCAACCTTGTTTCCTTGAGTTTCGGGTCTAGTTTTGTAAATAATACTGGAGTGGGGAACCACAGTTTGTTAGGCTCGGGTGTTCTATGTCTTCTGTCTTGCAGAAGATGAGAAAATATGCTAATATTTACCATATTTCTATGCAAATAGATGGAGCTTGTCAAACATATTAAGGGACAATGGAACTTAAAAGTGTACACCTGGGTTCTTTAAGTTGCAGGTCTAGGTTTGTACTGGGAATTGAAAGTTTGTTCCGATGAGTCAGATGTTAAGCATGTGCTGGTATACTGTATTGGTAGACGGTCGAATTTCTGGGTAGACTTATACACTGAAATGAAGAGAAGGGTACCCCATGTCAAGAAAAAGTAACATATTTGTGTAGTTATGTCTTATGATTATCACTGAGAGTTAACTTTTGATTCACTAATGTATCACACACAAAATAATTGTGATTAGTGTAGATTAACTGAAATACGATCGCTGCCTCTGTGTTTCATAGTCTTCAGAGCACTCGCTAAGGAAGGAATGCAAGAGAAATGAAACTGAAATGTTTTCTTACTGTATTCATGCAACACTGCCACCTGCTGGTGAAACGCTTCCATGTCTTCACTGTATGTATGCACTGTATGTAATATCCTTATTATAAACAGTCAATGGTAATATCCCATTTTCTAAAATTCTTACCAGCACATGTCCAAATAGTATTTCTAATATTCAGGTATTCAACTGTTCACAGATCAGTTTACCTTAGTGATTCCTTTATATAAATAATAAATAATGTATCTGAAAAGAAAAAAACACCCACACTACACATCACAAATACGTGTAGTTAATTGTATGCATACACATTTATTTATCTATTGCATTTATGTTTGTAAGAAGGCTGGTTTAATGCTTTTGAGCAGACAAATTAATATTTTAAAGAAAATTAAAAGCAAGAAGATACCAACAGGAATAAATATGAAAGCTTATATGCACTTGATTATCATATGAAAATGACAGAAGCAACACAATGTAACAGAATGACAGGAGGGGAAATCTTATACAACTAGCTTATTCAATATGAGTTTAGGCATAAAACATTAGTAAAAAACTCTCTACAGCTTGAAACACACTCTCTCTCTATCTCTCTCTATCTCTCTCTCTCTCTCACAAACACACACACATTATGAAAAAGGCCGACTCCTTGGACAAATGCCCTGCATACAGGCCTCACAATGAGCAGGCTCATGGGGACTTTGACCATCAACTCTTGTGAAAGGCTTGATCTTTTTGCCCAGGTCTTCATTGTAGCATTTTATTCTTATTTTCTCCACAACATTCTTCAGGAGGATCTCGATGTTCTCTGAGGTGATGCTGGGCTTCTCCATTGGCGCTTCGCTGCACTCCTTGCAGTTCTGACGGAAGGGCCTCACCTTGACAACGCCCTGCCTGTATGACAGGCGCATGTGGCAGGCAACCCTCACTTTGTTAGAAGACCAGCCTCTTCCACACTTGGAGCATTTGTACCTTGAAAAAGACACAGGCCCTTTAACAAAATGATAACGAACCAAAGTTACACTGGAAACTCAAGTTTTAGCTACAGAAACATTTGGAAGCAGCGATGCTCTGGGAGAAGAAATTATATAATTGGGTTTTAAATGTCATTTGGACGATCCTAATCATTGACTATCTTGCTAAATAATTTCGTTTGACTGAAGCCAGTGCAAAAGGTAAAATAGGAGGAGAGAGACACTTGACATCACCTCCTTCCTGTTTACATAATAAAACCAGAATCTTCGTCATGTAAATTTTGTCAACACCTATGCTTCTTTGGCCTCATCTCAAAGGCCACCACTGACATTATTTCTTCTGTCAATGTAAATCTAACCCAGCCTTTGTCATGCTGGGCATGGCATTAACTTAGAGCTATATCCTTAACCCTAACATTAACCAAAACCAACTTATTACCATAAAAAGTAATGGTTTACATTGTGGAGACCATGAGATAACCTAGTGCATGTACATAGAGAAAAACCTTTAATAAACCTAATGCATCCAACTATATATATATTTTAACCATACTGTACATAAATGTACCAACTACAGTATTTAGTAGTAGTTAAACACACTGACCTTCCACTGGTGCTCACGATACACTTCTTCCAGCCGGGTTTTTTGCAGTTAGGCATAAGATTTTCATCAAACTCCAGATGCCATGAGTCTCCTGGTTTCAGATTCATGGCTGTTACCTGGAAGAGACGTGTCCACTCCGGATGTGCCATCCTGTCGGTGCCAGGGGTGCTGCTGGCTGAGAAAGAGACTAAACACTGACAGCTGATCTGCACAGTATACAAACAACTAGTGAGAATGACGTATCATGCCTTGGTTGAGAGACAATGACTCTAAAAATAGAGAGTACGAGGAAAATGAAACTTAAAAGTACTGTGACTTTACCAATAGAGAGTTTGAGGAAAATAAAACTTAAAAGTACTGTGACTTTACCAATAGAGAGTTTGAGGAAAATAAAACTTAAAAGTACTGTGACTTTACCAAGAGGGCTTGAGGAAAATTTAATTTAAAAGTGGAAACTTGGTTTTATTAAGTTCCGGGTCTATGACTGGAATGGGGAATAACAATTTTGTTGACTGGGATGTTCATGTCTTCTATCTTGCACTAGATGAAAACATACTTATATTTACTACATTTTTATTCAAATAGATGGGATCATTTTGCAGAAGTAATTGTACAAACTGTTGATCTGGTGTCATCATTATCATTTCCCTATAGAGACAGTAGCTTGTCAAACATGTCTACCCATCTTTCCTGTGTATGGTTCAATTTCAACTTTAAGTCTAATTTTAACTTCTGTGCTGTATGAAAATTCATCAACAGATTAGAAGTGTTTTTTTGGTGCCAATATCATGGCCGCCCTCGCTGTTTACACTTATTTTCCTGATTTAACATCAATAATCTGTGTAGGAACTACAATAGTAAGTTGCTTAACATTAAACAATAAACCTCTAATCTAATTTAACCTCATTTGCAGGTTTAATGTTACAACAGGAAGTAACTCAATTTCTGCCATTTGTAATTCGTACCTCGTCTGTAGCCAATGATGATCAATACTGAATGTATTGAGTCACACGCGTGTTCAACCATTAGCCGCAATATTATTAGACAATTAAACTGTGCGCAGTGTTTACCCCTCTGGCTTTTTGACACGAGAACAAAATACCTGGAATTCAAAACAAGTCCCTTTAATTATTCCAATAAATCTTCATTGAGATTTGAATTATTGGATTTGTGTTGGCTGGTTTCAGTTTGAATGTGATTAGCTACAGAAGATAAGGGAAAATCTTGTTATTATGCAAATAGTTTAATTTGGCCTATATGAGATACCTGATAAAATACTTGTACATTTTATACGGTGTAGTGTGGAAAATGCCTTACATTTTCCATTTAATTTTGTGTGATTTAAATCAGACCTTCTTATCCTCGACAAAGCAAGAAAAGATGGGATAATGTGGAGCATGGGGAGGATGAGGAGAGTGCTATCCCCGCCGCCATCAGAGCAGGAGACTGATCTTTAAATCCAGCGAGGAGTCTTGATTTGCTCCTGAAATCATGGCACATTTGTGCCGTTTTTCTCGGGTGAATGAAGCCAAATTAGATACGTTCTGATTTGTCTGTAGTTGATGAGGCCTTGGAAGTTCAGAAATCACAGAGCAGAGAATTGCCTCCACCGTATTGCCTCTTTTGATACCAACCCTGAGCTGATACCAGTCCATGTGGGAGTGAAGAGGAAGAGAGTGAGTGAAGGAAATGACGGAGATAATAGTGACATTTTAGAAGACAATGATATCAAAGGCTTTCCTTGCCTGAGAAAGAAACGTGTGAACAACGATAACAGGACTCCAACGGACAGACGATTGGAAAGAACTATGCGAAAAAACTTCTAGCATATTTCAAAACAAGACACAGTGCTAACGTATTTTGTCGTACTCTTATTTTGAAACCGGGAAGGTGGAAAATACGTCGCTATGTTTACGGATGAAACTTTGCAAAGATTAGCTTGTTAGCAACTGTCTGCCTTCTTTATCTGCGATGGAGGGGTCCGATACATACCTCATTCGACCGAATCATCAGTATAAGTACGCTGGTCAACGTCTTACAGTTGGTATTACAGGTGGTTAGCATTTAGCCAGCTAGTTCATTGCTAACGATGTGTTTTGTAAGCTAAGTTAGCCACTATTTCACCGCTTACCTCGGTGTTTTCTACTGCAACGCCTACGTTAACTAGCGTTAACCTAGCTATGCCAACCGTTAAGATTGGCTAAGTGAATAACGTTAGTCGATAGTTGGAGTCTGAATGAAGTGGTCACGTTTGGCGTCATGTACTGTGACGCTAGTTAAGCGAGCTAACGAACATTTGTCAGTCAAATCAACTGTTCACAATTTGAGTAAAAGTGTGACAAATGTCTCCAGTCATCAGCCCAACGTTGGTAAACTATGTCTGCTTCACTGTTCATCTAGGGTTAAGGAGGAGGACTCAATTTAGCACACACACATCTTAAACTATATCATTTAAGCTTGTGTGTAAAACACATCACTCAAATGTATTGTTGACAGATAATCAAAATGTAATCAGAATTGATTATGAGACCTCTACAGCTCAGTGACCCACACAGAGAGGGACTGATCATGTTGTGACCTGTGAAGGCTGATTGAACTTCATTTCCTGCTCTGTTGCTGACTGTTTAACCTCCCAGGTTTAAGCCAGCCATTGTGAAGGAGTGCATTCGTGAAATTGTGAGGGAGCGACTGTCAGGGATGCGGTACGACCCAGAAGAAGTCCCAGAGCTGTCCCGTTCACTGGGAGAATGCGTTAAGGACAAAGTGAAGAGTGAGTGACGCTTTTTCCATCTCTGATTATAACTCAGAAGGACAGAGTATCCAAGTACTGTTGTACATTTTAATTAATGACATCAGGCAACAAACTAAAGGTGTTCTGCCAATTATGAAACAAAATATTACTTTTGATTGAAGTCAGTACAGAACCACTCAGAATACTTTAGAGAAGGAAACAAGGACAAAGTGAACAGAAGGAAGAATAAAGCCGGAAGATTTAAGTGGAATAAAATAGCGTAAAAGTAAATTATTGTCATTACAAGTATAGTCAACAATAAAATGTCTCCCATCAAAGATAATCCTACTAGATAAAATGTTTTACCTGAGTAAATGCTACTCAGTATATGTAGCATGTTAATAACCACTCCTGTATCGTCCCTGCAAAAATGTTGCATTATTACTGATAAACTATTACAGCTCAGTTCTCTTCTTCAACAGGTTCAGGGTTTGACAAATATAAGCTGGTCGTGCAAGTGGTAATTGGAGAACAACGCGGACAAGGAGTCAAGTAAGTGATGATGGTAGTGGTGAACAAAAAATTGAAATTTGCCTAACTAATATGTGGGGATACTCTTTGACTTTGGTCATTCTTACCATCAACACTTCAGTGATGGACAAAAACATTTCACCAACTTAGCGGATGTGTGATATATTTATTGTGCACTTTATGGATGCCCAAGCTGCAACACAAAAGAAAAGACCAACAATGCGATAAGACAACTATACTTATCAGAGTCTCTTTCAGTATTACTGCACAGGGTTCCCACAGTCATGGAACTCCTGGAAAAGTTTGGAAATTAGAAAAGCGGTTTTCCTGGCCTGGGAATGGTTTGAAATTAACGGAAAGTTTTGGAAAAGGTTAGATTTTTTTGAATTCAATTGTTTAAAATATGTTCATGCTGCGTGAAATGTCAGTATTATCATGTGATATACGTTTGTGTATGTAGCTAGTTGGCAGCGGGAATGTCTAAGACAACTTAAACCAATATTGCTCAACCTAGCAATGGGATAAGGGGCACACTGGAGTAAGAGCCTCATAATTGCGCCCTATGTTCGCAACAGGATATTTAAACTACTTAAATACAATTATGGAAATGGGTTAAAATGTTATGGAAAAGTTATAGGAAAGTTGCGTGTGAACCCTTACTGCAGCAACATTTTTTTTCATTACTGCTGTCATACACATTTTGCTTGAATTTGTAGATTTCACTGTAAGTTTTTCAGCAGTAATGGTGTCTCCTGAGTGACACTAGAATTCTTAATTCCGTGTATTAAAGAAGATATTTTAGAATTCCAGGAAAAATAAAATAAATAACAATGTGCCACAATGTTTTATTAGATTGATTTATATTGAAAGGTGTTTCTAATATTCCGCCCACTCTCAAAAATAGCATGGAGTCGGAATGTCCTTCTGACTCACAGTCCACAATAAATGTATATTATGATTAAAGGGCTCGTCCTTTTGGATTGCATTACATTGTACAATGTTTTTCAAAAAAAATGAATGCTTGACCTTCTCATGTGTTTCACCAGGATGTCTTCAAGATGTTTATGGGATGCCGACACAGACAACTATGCAGAAGATATTTTCCTGAACGTAGGTACCTTTGTTCTGTTCATTCAGATGTTATGGGGGAAAACAGACTCCTCAACACTAATTTATTTTAATCAGTTACATGTGTTTTGCCTTTACAGGACAGCTTGTTCTGTATGGTGGCAGTTTTCGGAAGCTATTACTACTGAGGACATAAGGATGGATGACAGAAATCTTCCAGATGAAAAATTGTGAGGTGAACATCCAAATAAGACCGCTCCCCTCCAACACTTTCAGGCCCACGGTGCGTTGTTCTGAAGTAACTGTATGGAATTGCTGCATCTTGAGATCAAGACGGATGACATCCAGTGTAGAAGTGATGGATATCCGTGTTGATACTGTATGAGGATGAAGATGAGGGATTTCCTGACTTGGCAAGATGATTATTGAAGACTGAGGCCTCTTTGAAAAGTGATCAGCTGTTTAGTTTGAAGGGTTAACAGATTAAAAACGTCTCCACCAATATTTCCTGGCACATTTTATTGTGTATTCAGCAGACCTGCTTGGTTACTAGAATGCTAATGATGCAGCAGAGTGTGTTTTTGTACGCTTTGGGTGCTTGACTTAGCACAGCAGCTACAGTAGAGGTCAGTATTTGTCTCTAATTATCAACATCATGACAGATCATTACCGCTGGCCAGCTACTGTAAGTATACTGGATATTTGTTTTTTTTCTTTTCACATGCAGCTGGTCATTTAAATATAGTAAAGCCAAGTTGTAACTGCTTAGAAAATACAGGGGAGATTCTGCTCATCGCTCAGCACAGATGTGATCTGTTCTCTTTTCTCTTCTCTCAAGTGGAGCAGAAGCTGGACTCACATGTTTAGGTCCGCTGCTTCATGTGCGTTGATTTAAGTCAGTTTCATGTTTTTATTGATACATCCACTTTTCTTTCTTTAGTGTTTTTCTTGTTTACGCTATTTAGACATTTTTTCTATGTCAGTGAGTGACATCAAAACACATTTCCGATAATTGTAAATAACTGAATTATAAATCACATGCACAACTTCTAGGTTTTAACATTCCTATGTTGCTTTAAAAAAACTGAAAATGTTTTGTCTTTTTTTTTTTTTCTTCATTTAACTACAGTATTTGCAGCTATTGCTAGTTTTCTGTCGGTCAAAGATAATTGTGTCCAACAGTAAAACGTTTCCCAACAATTTCCCCCAGTATTTTCTTGGTCAAATTGAGATGTCTATCTTCAATTTTAGGATTTTTTTTTTTTTTTTTAAATTACTCTTAGGTCTCTTCCTTTCAACAAACCAGGCCCCAGCTGGAAAACTGGATGCCTTTCAGACTATTTATAGAGACCAATTAGACAGAAGTGTGCAGTCGAAGTGATCAAGCTTAGCTGAATCAATTAGTCAAATGACTCGTACTCCGATTACATACATGCCAAAGTAGGTTTTTACCTTTCTATTTCTGATTGTAAACACAGCTGAGTTGAGAATGAAGCTCATCAAACAAATGTTTTGGCCATTCCTCCTCAAATATTCAATTTTTTTGTATTCAGCAAGTTGTAGTAATAAGTGATAGTTTCATACAAAATATGATCAACTGCTGCAAACCCATATTCAGAGTATTTCCCCCAAAATATTGATAAAAACACCCTCCTGATTATCCTCAATTAATATAGAGTATAATGGATTTAAATTGCCTTCAATTTAATTTGTTTTCTGGTTTGAAGAAATCTAATTAAAATCAAAAAAATATTTTTCTATTCCCATTTTCTTACACTCAAAAGTCTCGAACTAAAGATTTTTTTCATGTTCATTCTCTTCAGTTTCTTTAATGTCTCAATTTTGATTTCAAAGTTTGAGTCATTTTGAAGGCTGACCACGTTGACAAATAGTTCCTCTTAAGGGGCTTGAGGTGCGTGCTCTTCCAAATAATAATAAGAGTGACGGAAGAGGCATACAGGTGTTGTTGGGAAGGCTGCGTGTCTGCATTCACAGTCTACTGATGGACGCTGTTGAGAGTTATGCCTGTGCATTGATGAGGCCTCATTTTCCGATCTTCACCTCCCCCTCAGGGTAGAGTTGGCTATCATTCAGAGGTTTAGTGATGCTTCATCTTTCTTGGCAACTGGTCCAAGGGTTTCAAGCAGCTGGCACGATTCAAGACTTTACGGCTTGGGGTTTCATTTTAAACCGTTTATAGGCATTTCAGAGAAGATTGTCTGATATACTTGTATAAAGGGTGTCTATCTTTTCCTCTCAAGATGATTCAATATGTGTCTTGACGCATTGTGTGCAATACAATACAAAATGATACAGTTAACCATGTTACAATTTGTTAATTCATAGTATTCTCATGACGTGTCATATATTTTCTTTACCAATACAGCTCACTAAAAGACAGCTTGTAATTGTGTCCAAAGATTTTTTTAAAATGTAGTGTTTTATCAATCACAGTTTCTGGTGACTCTTTTTTTTAATGTTTTTTGATTTGAGAAGGAGCCACATTTATGTTTGTCTTCACATTTTTGTGTAAGCTTCCAGTTTATTCCCACAGTTATTTTCTTCATTTGGGAAAAGGCGAAGTGTAGTGTGACTACAGTATGACTTAGAACTACACAATTAGCGCTTTACACCCACATTCACATTTGGTAGCAGCGGCAACAAAACAAGGCAAAAGTGGTTGCACCAAATCATGAATTGCAGCCTCTTGGTAAGATAAAGGGTTAGTGGTAAGCACTGTTTATTATTCATCCCATACATCCTATTTGTGTAGACTAGGCTCCTAAAGATGCCTTATACAGCAGCAGGTTCATGCTCTTAGCAATCTCCTGTTCACTCAAATGAAGACCTTGCAATAGTATAAAAGTGGATTGAAGTGGTCTATATTCATAGAGAGTGTTTGCTGGCAATTGTCACAGTCACAAAAGACCCCAGGGCCTTGCTGCAGGCACTCATTTTCTGGTTCAGAGTGCTTTATCTGGGTTTACACCATTTAGAGGGAACAACTCGACATCAGTGCCTTACTCAGGACTGCAGACACCTCTCCACTCTTATTTTCTCCATCATCTGCAGTCCACAAAAAAACATGGTGGGTTTATGACTGTTAGACATTTCACTGTAGGACCTATGTATTCATCTCAGAAAAATCATCCTGATTGCACTTTGATAAAGCCAAAGAACTACAAGAGCTATGTTTATGTCCAAACTGTGTCATATTTCACAAACTTGAAAATGCTGTGTGAAATGATATGTTTCTGAATTGGTCTGGCAGATCACAATTTGCTGTAAATTACAACTTATTGTAGATTTTACTAGTTGTACTATTCGACATACAGACATCACTTCAGGGAGCAAACAAACATTACAGATAAAAACGAAATTATCAAGATTTGGAATTTAGAGAATTTCTTGTTTCAGTATAAGCCAATAATAGGCCACTAAAGTCATTTTAACCTTCAACAACAGTTGAATAAAATCAACCAGCTGTTAGGACGGAAAACCACACAAGGTATGAGACTAAACAATGTATTTATCACAAACGAATTACCACATAAAACGACTTTGCACACCGCATTGCATTTGCAATAAAACTGTGACAGCTGTGAATGAGCTATATGAATCCCCCACAGTGGAAGAGTAAACCTGTGTGGGTAGGGTGAATGAGCCATTTTTAAATAGTGTAAAGGAGGTACACATTAACATTGCTTTAGTTCCAGAGCACGTTGTGGCAAATAGTACCGGTGATGACGGTGATAATGTCCTTGGTCTAACAAAGCACTATAGAACAAGACAGGTGCATTCATTGGATTCTGCCTGAAGTGCAGATTTAGTATTAACAGTAGCTAAAACTACCTTGAACTGCCTTCAGAGCTGCCGAGGTTGTCAGCTCTGAAAGATTTTATGTTTTCTTTTGTTTCTGTCTTCCCACTGGTCCAATTTACTTGCAGAGTTGTGGGATGTTACAACATCACAAAGTAAAGCAAAGTAAACTCTTATTAAAGTCGGAAAGTGAATGCATATGAATATCAGACACTTTTGTTTTACAGCAATCTGACAAACATTTACATACAGAGCAAATAAGTTCTCGGGATCAGCTGGTTACAACAGTCATGGTGGCTGGTCAGAATGTGTTGGTATCTCTGTTTTTATAAAGTACGATATAACATCACAACAAATCATAATTGTCTGAGTGTGGCCATTCAAAATGTGTGCTAATACAACATTCCTTAAAACACAGTCACAACAGAGACTCAATTGGTTGGTTACACTCTTAAACACAGTGATGTTTTGAATGACGTGCTTATTATTGTGCAACAAGATATTACAAATTATACCATCACTAAAATATACATTACATGCTGGGGTAAATGTGTTTTGATTCATGTTGATAAATCAGATTGCAGACCAACAAAGTAAAATCATCTGATGTTGTGTTTGTGAAGAATGCAAATATTCTTAATAATTGAATAACCTGAATCATTGTACCGATACGTTAGCATTAGAGCTCATGACATTTATTCATGGTATATTTATTTATATACATTTTATGAAGTGATTTATTTGTTTTGTCTCTCTGTCTTCTTGCCGTCCAAATTGTTGGTCCAGAGCTGGTCTGCAATTAGCTGTGTACGTTCATGTTACCCTTATAATGGTTTCATGGTTGACTCCCTGAACCTTTCACGTTATTTAACTTTCTATCGTGGGGTGTGTCAGACCATTTAGCCTCGAGAAGTTACTAATTGGCTTCACTCGTCTTGTTAGAGCATGGGCTAATGCTACAATAGATCTGAACAAAGGTGATGGTGTTCTACTGGACTCTATGGGGAATCCTCCAATTATGAGCATGCTTTGAATCCTCCAATTATGAGCATGCATTGGCCCAATTGAAAATTTGCATAAGCATAGCCGGCCAATCAAGACGTGCCTATCCGAATACATGCGGATCCGCAGTACACTCCGCTGTCTGCCATTGTTGCGGAGGTCTGTGAACTCCCCGGGGAGCAGTTTGTGCGCGCCGATCCATGGTAACATAGCAATGGCGGCCACAGGGAATAGATATGTTATTCAAAGCCTCTATACAACGTGAGGTGTGCTTACTGACAATATTACGCCAATTTAGAGGGTTCGTCCACCAATGATATCGATCCGAAGGGCCCTTCCGTGGTGATGGGGGCTCCTAGGAGATCGTCCTGGTCCTTCCTCGGAAGCGCGGTGAGTCCAAGCCACACATGGGGAGAATCTACAGTGGCTAGAGACATTACACGGCCTGTGGCCATTGCAACTCCCTGAAGCAGAGTCATTTAGCCGATGCTATGGTCCAAAATGTAAGTCTGAAACAGTGGGTCTGAGCCGTTGGGAAGACGTCAGCTCCCGACACACCCAAACTCCAACTCAGTGGTGGTGGCTGTGCTCTTTGCCTGGTCTACACTCAGTAGGCAAATGCTTGCCCGTGGTTGGAGGAGATTAATACCCATACAGTCTAGTAAAGGACAGAGGGACTTAGAACTGTAAATAAATACACTGAGGAGGACGGACCTTTTGGCATAACGTTTTAATGGTTGGTTTAGCAGACATACAGTAGCTGTCAGATAATGTGCCACTACAGTACTACTAGTGTACCTGAAAGCCTAGTCCAACATACTGTTTAAAAGCATTTGAAAGTCATATTTGTCATACTTTTAATCACACAAAAATCATTGCAATCTGGACAAATGCTAAACATTCTTAGCTAATGAAAACAAGCGCATGTATTTTTTGTGCAGTGAAAACAAAAATCCCAAAGCTGCTTCATATTACAAATAATTTCAACTCAAAATCTTTTCAAAGTAGCACAAAGTACACTTGGAACAATATAAAGTGTTAAGACAGCAGACATTACTTTAACACACAAACACTGGTGTAAACAGGGCGAACAAGCATTTGTGTTATCTGAACACGGCAATATAATATACAGTACATACAGAACAATGAAAGTATTCTTTGAAATATATATTACAAATGATTTGATATAAATAATTACTGCACATACAGGTTGGCTTAACTCTTACATCATCAGTAGCAGTATGAGGAATAAAATAACATTCACTTTAGCATGATGGTCATTTTAACTTTCTTTTATAATCCTCATTCTTTATTTACCCGTTTGTTTTTTCATACTCTCTAGTTTACCCAGAAACTTCAGTTCATTGTTACTTTACACCATTGTGTTTTTTCATATCCTTACTGTCTTTATCTCACAAGTATATTTACATTTTCATCCTCTTTCTGGCTTGGACCAACCTTTGTAACTATTGGTCCACCTGTTTTTTTTTTTCAAATTATAAATGCCAGGATTCTTGTAAACTGTATTGTCATCAGTGAAACATATTTTCAAATTTCCATCTGTTTTCATTACAATGGCCTCAGACATTGAACATTGGATGTCGTCCCTGCTGGCAAATTTAAGATGGCATTCAAGTGTACATTCCTGCATCATTGCCGAGGGCATGGGGCTGAATCTAAGCTGCCTAGGCATGTTTGCAAAAGTATGTGATTTGCTGAATTAATTATAAAGTTTCCAAAAGTAGCAGAGCAGCACTTACATTACACTGCATACTGACAGCTCAGCTTTTTTCTGCAGTTCTTCCACGCAGACTATTTAAGGTTAGCTGATGCACCTGCAGTGGATGTTGATGGCAGTTGACAGTTGACGGCTCAGAATGGAACCACCCTGCAAACAATATCTCCCCCTTCAAAGACCCTCTGAGTTGTTTTTAACACGAAAAACAGGTTTCCTCTTTCATCCTCATTTCCCTATCTTCTGCCTCTGCTTCAGCAACAGCGGCGCCGTTGCTGAGTGGCACATCACTCAGGGTGCTGCGGAGTGTCCCCCGGGTGACACTGAGTGAGTGCTTTCTGGGGCCGATGAGTTGAGGCCGATGGCACATGACCTCCTTGAACATTTCTCTAAAGCGCGTGGACATGAGGTTGTACAGTATTGGGTTGGCTGCTGAGCTAAGGTAGAAAAAAACTCCGGAGATGATGTGCACATACTGGAAGATTTTCATTTGGTTTTCAGTCCAGTCGTTAATGAAACTCCACATGAGGCGGTCAGTGTGAAACGGGGCCCAGCAGATCCCGAAAACCACCACTAAAGCAACTGGAGAAACAGCAAGAGACAATGGGAGACATGATTTTAATAATAGTACAATGATTGATTTATCCAACATGCTCTCTCTGCTCTCAATTATCAGTGTGTCAGTGATGCAGAGAATGTCTGTTTTGGGTGCACAGCCTTTGATTTGGTCCTATATGTCAGGGTTTAATATGCCTTTGGGTTCATAATCAGAAAAGGATTCTTTGAAATCTGTGTTCTATATAATTGTTTTTTTCCCCCAATACTCTTCCTTAACACCCTTCCTGGTTTTGGAGTGGCCCTCATAAAAAAGCTTGACTGCAGGATAAAACACATGGCATGACTTAAATGCATCACCAGAAACCAAAAGCAGAATAAAAATGATGCAAAAAGATTCAAGGAGGAAAACCTCTCAGTGCCAATGGACTTTATTTTGTGTTATTTTGCGACAGATTGCAGTGATGTTGAAAATGATCAAGGCCTAAACTGTGCACTGCTCCCTGCAAGCTCCGTTCAAAGTTGTACTAGTTCACTGTAAGATCTTAATTGTTGCAGCTGGTTCGGGCTAAATGCCAACTTCAGCAATCGTCCCTAACAAGCAAATGTTGATGCATTTTCATTATCAAGGTTAGTTTGTCAAGGTTTGATTTTTATTTGAACAGTTATGGATATCTGTAAAATGTCGTTTACGTTGTAATATTTTTAGTGTTGGACAAAATTGCAAACTTGCAAACAATGTGAGAAGTGGTTGAAATAGGATTTATTTTTGCAATTACAAGATCACAAGTCCATAGAGGGAGTGAGTTTTTTCAAGGCCATACTCCACATAAATGTCTTATCTGTAGATATCCTCTTCAAGCGTGATTGCTCCCCTATGCCTGGTTGGACAAACACACCAAATATTTGGTATTTCGTGTCATTGCTCTTGTTTTCTAGTTTGTAAAACAGGAGAATCATGGCAGCTGTTTTGGACATGTGGAAAATCTATCAAACTACTCTCTGAAATCAGTTTATATTGACATTTGTGGAAAGAAATAGGCCATGCTGTTGCTGAATTATGCTTTATTCTATATCATGTAACCATCTCTATGAAGCATCCACTGATACACAATATGTGGCATAACGTTGAATATTAATATTGTGAGTTATGAGAGCATTTGCCTTTTTAAAAAATATTCTATGGTAGTATTGTCTATAGTAATTATTAAATTAGGAAAACCATAAGATATGTTACTCTACAGTATTTTACAGTACATTTTCACCCATTGTGAATTAATTAACCATTTGTCCAGAAACATTTTTTAGTCGAACATTCAAATTCATGCAGTTATACACGTCTTTGCCCAGGAGGGCTCCTACTGCTCATCAGTAGTGTTTATGGTGTCATTATCAAAAGTAGTTACTGACCGTTGGTATTTGAGCTGCCTACCTTCTCTTCTTCTTTTTCAATTGGGCTTCCAGTCTTTCAGACGTATTGATAACTATCTTCATGGATTACTCTGACCTTTTTAAAGGTTAAAAACATGATTCTAAATCTTGCACTGTCTCATTGTTTGGAGGAGAAGTCAAGACACAACTGTACCGACATTTTTATTTCAACATCGGCACCTGTGCAGCCAGGCATCTATGAGCATGCCAATCAATTTCTTAGCATAGATTAATACATTCATACAGCACATGCTTATGCGTCTTGAATGACGTTCACTTCACCATCTGCTGTCACCTTCACCTCTGAGCTATACAATGTCGTGTTATCTTAATGACGTAGCCCACATGTGCTAGTCTGTGACAATCACTGATACATCTGAATGTGGCTGGAAGAAAATGGATAATATGTGCATGGTTGGTGTCACCTTTCATGATCACATCATAGTTATTCATGTTCATGCAGCTTTTCAGCATCAGTAATACATGTTGCAGGGAAATGTAATGCCACACGGATTACACTTTTTCATCATATCAGACAGTGTTCAACAGAAAATATCTACAAAAAGGTTTGTTCCCAATGATACTGATGGATGTGGTATTTACATTAAATAGACAACAGATGGTAGGTGCTACTAATTAAAATTTTCCCTACTTCTAGGTCAGTTTATTTATTATTGTTTGATGGATGTTAGTTTTTTGATTAATCCATTTCCAAATGTCTCAAATGTGAAAAGAATGATGATCAATTCTCAATGATATGAAACAATGAAAAGCAGCAAATCCTCACAGTAATGTATACAGCTATGTGTTTATTTGAACTATGGCCACCACATGGCCAGATCATTCCTCGCCGCTGGCCTCCCTATGGGACTCCTTGCGAAGGATTTGACACTTCTTATAGAAAATAAATGAGAGCCGATGACTCCCTCTGAGTTAGGTGATGGGTCCGTCTCCCCATTCGTTCTCTACAAGATTTCTGAATTTTGTTAAGCCTGCCCTTAGATTCATACACACATGCATGCATTCCCTTTGGAGCATCCTGACAGCGACAGAATCCACCAGTTAATAAGGAATTGGGGAAAAAAAGACTGAATTCTAAATACTATTTGAATAATGTTACTATAATTGTCAAAAATAATTATTACATCCCCACACAACAGCGTAAGGGATATTATGTGGTTAACCCTACCGTTGCATCTGCTTCCACACATCTTTTGATTATTGTGCTTTAATGGTTTAATTCCGCGTTATTCGCGCCGCGTTATTCGCGCCGCCCGGCGCAAAATCACGTTGCTGGCGTCTATTCGCGACTGTGCATTGAATCTATGTAATAAATGTAATCTACTCGACCGGAAAATTTGTGGTGTGAACACAGCATCAGTCCGTAAAACACAAAGAATGCACCGTGCGTCTGAATTCAATTCTGATTTGTCTGCATGTTTGTCAATCAATAAATGTGTCGTCGTTGCTAACCATCATGTTGACAAAAAAGCTTTGTCAACAAGGACAGAAAGTAAACTATTAAACGTTAATATTAGCAGCAAGACCGTTTGTCCAAACATTGGTTTTCATGTGAAAGACAAAATAAATGCAAAACTACACAAATAAATGCTTGGGAAGGTAGCTAACGTTAACATGATGTTAGCTCGCTGCTTGACTGCTCATCTCAATGTTAGCTTTCAAGTGAAAAGTGCAATAAATGCTAAATTACATATAAAAGCTAAATCATTTTTACTGACTTCACTATCACTGCCTGTATCTATATCTGCCATTAACTGTAAATAAAATTGAATTTACTGGGTTAATGTGGTCACCATGGTCCAAGCATGGCAGGAAGAACAGAAGAGGGTATGTGGATTGCAAATTTAAGGGCACGGTTTACTAATCTAAATACACAAATTGCAAATCTGAGGACATAGTTTACGAATCTGTGCACACGGATTAGGGCGGGGTTTACAAATTTGTTTGAACAGATGGTTACACATCAAGTTTATATTTATATCATGTGACCCCAACAGGGTCCGTACTTGTTTTATACTTACATAACATTTTAGTGACCTGCCGGCGACGGGCCTTCTGCTGATGTGTTCGGACGTTACAGAAGCTGTCCTGTCCAAAGCCCTTCTTCGCCTCCAACTGATGCATCTTCTCCTGCTTCAGCTGCAACCCAATGAGCATGTAGAGAGTGCTGATAGTGAGCATGGGCAGTATGAAAAATAGCAAGGTGGTCACCTGGATGGTCAGGTTGTACATCCAGCGTGGTTTCACCAGCCCACAGATTGCTGAGTCTGGGATCTCCACGGTGATGTTCCCGAAAGAACCGGTGGGACTACTGTGAAGGACGGTGATTCCATGCAGACTTGTGTTCGGCAAAGCACACAACACCGACACGCCCCACACCGTCAGGATGACCCGCTTGGCATGGGTGCGCGTCACAACGTACTTTGCGCGTAGCGGGTGCACCACAGCGATGTAACGCTCGACACTCAGCGCTGTCACGTTGAGGATAGACGCAAAACATACAGTCTCGAATATGAACGTTTTAAAGTAGCAGCCGCCATTCCCCAGGATGAAGGGGTAGTTCTGCCACATCTCATACAGCTCTAATGGCATGCCAAGCAGCAGCACCAGCAGGTCTGACACCCCCAAGCTGAACAAGTAATAGTTTGTTGGTGTCCACATCACTTTGTTGCGTGCAATGACAGTGCATGTCAGCACATTCCCCACCACACCTACCAGGAAGATGACCAGGTAGTTGAGGCAGACGGGAAGGAACACAGATGATCGACGAGGCCCCAGATTGTTCTCCAGGTACTCTTCTTCTGTCAGACATGCAGCAACCAGATCAACGTGGCTCCCGTTCACGCCAGAGGTCAGATTGACACACTTCTCCCCTGGAGGACATAGCCAACCACCCTTTTTAGCCAGTAAATCAAAAGAGCAGTTGAAAGCTGACATCCTGCTGAAGTAATCAGACCCGCTATCTGAGGAAAAAAAGATGAAACGGACATCAATATGAAATTGCATGTCATGGCAAATGTTTTGAACACTCTAGGTAACGGTAATGATATTTATACAAAATAGATTTCTAACCATGGCTAAACAGGAATCAAAGATTTATCGATTATTGCAAATGCATGTGTCAGCACAATTAAGGCAGGAGTTGTTTCACAACTTGATCTTAAATTTGCTGACCAATTTACAAACCTCTCAATTAGATTAGCCAGGACTGTTGTTTCTTCCAATTTATTTTGAATTGACTTCCGACAGTGAGCAGACGACTGAGTGATTGAATAAGCTTGAATTGCCATCTGTTTGCTGTAGACCTCAAAGAAAAGAGGTAATTTGTAGAGAAAAACTAGTCTTTCAACTCCTTTTGGTTTTATAGCCCACAGATTTGCTGTTCTGGTTTCGTGTCACCATTCTATTTCGAACCTTTTCCAGCTGCAGTAGTCCACTGTTGTCATCAAAGAAGCTCTAAAAACCCACTGTAAAACACTACCTGCTTGACACCAATCAGCAGACAGACAGAGTTAGCAACTAGCTGGTGAACATTGTGGAGCATTTAGTTGCTAAAGATATTTTTCTCTGAAAGAAGAATGAATATTGGACTTACATTCGCTCAAATGAATTGTGATGTTGCACTATGTCAATGTGTGTTAACAGCATGGCCCACAAGTGGCAAAAAACCTCAGCATCAGTTAATGTACATTTAAAATGGACTACGAATATATATTTTTTTAAAAAGGGGTTGGTAACAGCTGGGCACTGTAGTTTTTAATAAACATTACACAAGCAGGAGTAAATAGCACATGTTATTGGGACTATTGTTACACAACTGGAAAGTATATACTACCACATTGCCCGTCTTTATGCTAATATAGGAACATGTCCCTTAATGCTCATTGATGCCTTGTTTTGTATTTTTCGACAACAAGGACTTTGACTCAGAGAAATTAGCTACTGTATTGTATATTGTACTTTATATACACAGGATCAATTTATTGTCAGGATTGGTCTTTTGATGGGATTCATTGACAATGACAATTATGGAATATTAATAAATTAATGATTTCACTTGTTATTGCATTTCTTTGAACTGTCCAATACGTGGAAATGTTTCTAAAGGACAGGGAAGTGGCAGGGAAAGGCTTTGGAGCAAGTGTACTTATAAAGACTGCAGTAAAAGGTATTCTATGATTGTCTCCAATACCATGACCGTAGGTCAGTGGATGGAGAGTAGCTGTGGTGGGGGCTCTATTCCTTGTGAGTCCCTTACTGAACCTGCTATTCAAAGGAACACAGGTCAGAAATCTGTGACTCATTGTATGTCAAATGTTTGGAGGCTTTTGAAGTTCTAGTCGAAGGAATGTAATTTAGTAATAATTATATTCCAGCGTGAACGGCTTCATATGAAGTTAAAAACATCTGTCATGTTGATAATTCCATCATTAAATAACTGTTTGCAAGTAAAGGATCTTTTAAAATATATATTATGGTTTGTAAGTTTATAACACACAGGACATTTGATTATGCTTACAGAGGAACTTCTTTGGCGTCTGTCAGACTCTGGCTGACGTGGGAGAAAAGGAAACTGGTCAATTAGCTGAATGTTAATTACTCACTTTGATTCCCAAGTGAGAGCGGGTTGATGAGAAAGACAGGAAAAGGCTTGACTGACAGTTTAATGAATGACTGGTGATGATAAGCAGGAAAACACAATCATGATTTTTCCACACATTCGCATATATCAGTCAGAGATCTTTCTGTCTCAGGCATAGAGTTACCGAATTATGTATTTTATCAGGATGCATTTTGTGTCTCTGTGAGTTTTAAACACAATCAATGGTATGACATGTATTACAGTGGAGGCACATCCATTGCGTCACATTGAATTGCATACAATAAACCACATGTGGCTTTAGAGTGCAGCCACTAATGTGCAATGGATTTATTTTATCAATAGACGGTTTACTTAGCTTAGCCAGGAGGCTGAACATTTAAAAAAGATATTTATTAGCATTTTCTGCATACGGAAAACTCAGAGACAAGCTTGGGGTGTAGGATGTAAGAGCATATTAGCACTCGGTCCAGTGCATATTTCAAAGAAAAACATAGTATGCTTTTAAAAATGATATATGTATCTCCTGCATTAATCAGCAGTGATGTGAAATTATTTATGGATGACACATCATATCATTCTCATGAGCTAAGTCTCACTTACTTAAATATCTCTGCCAGGTGGATCATGCCATCTCTGTGTCTGTTCCCAGCTAATCTTGCACTCTGGTGCAGTGAACTGCAAAATATTTTGGGTGGCCAGTTATTGATGCATGCTCAAGGACGTCTCGCGGTTGCACTGTTTTATGCCTGTTTTATACTGCCATTGACTGCCTGCTGACTCACTCACTATTCTCAACCAGCCCCCGGCCAGTAGGGGTCGCTAGTGACCCCCAGCCACTACTCTGCACCCAGAGACACAACAGTTAGTAACTTTTATTGTTTTGGACCGAGTGTTTGACTATCAGCTAACTGAACTATCGATACACATACTGCTGAGTACCTCTTGGCTGCTGATCTGCAGCCAAAGACTTGGTGGGGAAAAGCAGTTTGCTCACTTTTATTGTTTTGGACAGTAGGCTTGGCAAACAGCTAACAGCATTACCAGTACGCACACACACTGCTGAATACATCACCGCCATTCAGCCACTGCTATTTAGGCAGAGAGCTTGGTGAGTTAAATTTAGTTTTTTTCCAAGATGGAATGAAATATCTTATACGAAAACTTGGAGCCCATTGCCTGCATACATCACCGCTCGTTTTTGAATTTGAATTAAATGTGTTTTACGCCTTAGAGCCCATTGGTGTCAGGCAGGAGTGAGTTGTAATCATTCAATTCGACAATACAGTAGTGGTCATTGCAGACACACCTGGCAGAGACTGCACTCTACTGTGTGCACCGTTCTAGTTTTAAATGCTATAAATTTAGTGTGCGACTGGGCTGCAGTTAACTATCATTTGCAGTGGATGCAGCGGAATACAGGACTTTGAAAGTGGTTCTGTCACTTCAAGTCCGCCCTAGAGCATACAGCTCATTACAAACAGTGCAGTGTGCCAATCCAGTGACTAGAAACAGCTTTGGCACTGGCTTAAATACAAAACATAGCAGCATCCACGAAAGCTGCTTTCATTGGATATAAATTCATATCTAGTCTACAACTGTTAACCCCCTCACATGTTATACTGAGGAAATATCCAGGCAGGCCAAATCTGTCATCTATTCTGTATGCGCTGCACCTTTAATGACTTAATTTGATATTCATGCTCCCTTTTCACAATTATGATTCCAGTGATGTGCTTCACTGTCATTTTCTTTTTATTTGTACAGTTATACTTATTTATTAATATTTGGTGTAGTTACAAAGTTGAAAGCAGGAGGATATTCAGTATATCTTATTTACATTGTATGATTTTTGTCTGAATGAGCCACCACGACACTGAGTAAGATTGCATACAGACAGGCAGAATCCATAATTCTTTTTTTAACAGTGATGCATTTTTTTTCTCATTGTTCGTTATTATAATAATATTTCAGGGATGACTTCCTCCTACAATCCTGTTATGCTGATCTTGGCAGGGGCTTTATCAGACAGTCACCCCTTTGGTAATTGAAGATGACAGATTCAACACAAATTAAATTATAGCCTCAGTGTTCTAACCTAAGCAAATTTTATTTTGTTGGTTCCACGCACAAATATTAGAGTACCGGAAATGAACTGAATTAACAGTAATGTCCAATAATGTGCACTGTCCCTGATACAAAACATACATTTAGTAAGTCATTTATGAACAAAATATTATAATAAAATGTTACTATAAACAGGAGTCATACTAGTTAGTTATTGAGCACTACATGCTCATCTTAGTATATTAGCTTATCATCATGAAAGGATAAGTGTATTTTTAATATGTGATATTTATTACTTCAAAAACAACCGTTGCATTGAAATTGAAAAGCTTTGAATTAAAAAACAATGCATTGACTAATTACATGATGACCACCAGGGTCTTTTGCATTTTTGAGGCACTCAATCATGAAGTGATGTTTATAGTAGATAATAGTTTAAACATTACATTTTCTTATTCCTACACTCATGATGAATAGCTTTCCAAAGAGCGTAAATCTTCTTACCTCTATAATGTGTTCCCTTGTTGTTATTCCCTTGTGTTAACGCAGACCAATGTCTTGATGAAGTGTGAACAATCTGCTGCTCTCTCAGTCTACTCTCCTCCTGATCTGTCGCTCTCTCGAGCCTCACTCATGATCTCACAGACACACACACACACACACACACACACACACGCTCTCACTCTGTCATTCTCCCTCACCTTGACCCTTTCAAACCTTAATTTCATAACTCTGCCCACACTTACTTGTATAAATTACTGTAATGTCGATATGGTACTGCCAAGAGTTGTCAGCCTTTCATGCTGAGATGACACTCCTTTACTGCTGAGTGCAAAATGATGAAAATCATGGACGATTATTGAGCTTCGAATCTTACAGTCCGAACTGCTTGTAATCTGCTTCTATGTTATTTTTGACAGTCAATTTACACTTTGCGAAGCCCTGCTATTCCGTCACCCTATCAGAGCTACCATGGAGCATGCACTGTCACTAACTGCACATCCTGTATCAATATTATCTAATCTGCAAAGAAGCGCAGACAGACGAGGTCTACAATATGTGTTTGTTTGATATATCCACGATGTCAAACTGATTCAACAGCAAAAACAGGTTCAAAAGATAAAGATAGAGCAGGCTAAGCATACAGATCACAGTGTGAAAGTGAACTACCACATCAGCTGGTGATCGGGAAAGAAGACAATGACATTAAGGAACAACACAGTTCCTGTAAAGCCAAGAGGTCTTTATTCACGCAGCATAATTCGGTAATTATTGTCCGTCAACACTACCTACGTTTATAGAGCCTAGAACCTCTCAAAGCAGAGAAGTGTATGATGGACAGAGACTCAAACAGATTGTTGGAGGAACAGCAATTTATTATTTTTTCCCCAAACTGTCAGCAATAGAATTGTTGAAGCAGGAATAAATACCTTAAAAACTAAGTTATGGTAAAATAAGTCAATAAAACAGTTAAGGATGGAATAGGGTTACTGTACAGCTCTTTCTTTTTGTGGGCACGGTCCAATAGTCCTCACAACCGTCATGGTCCATTGTCTCTGGCTGCTGGGTAGTAGCGTTGTCCATAGCAGGCCAGCAGATACTCTTGTCTGGCGAGCAGCTCCATCCCAACACAACTCAGACAGCTTAGTTAGTGGCTCAAACCACAACGCTCTCGGTACACCTGTAGCGTCAGTTTTGGGGAAACATTGACAATACACTGCGACTGTTAAACAGACTATGTGGTCTGTTCATTGTTTTCAGACCTGATCATCCACTTGGAGGAGAACGGTTAGGAGAACCCTACGCTGTCTTTCAATGAACGCACAAAAAACGCACAAAAAACGCAGAGATGCTGACGAAAGAAACAAAGACAGCCTACAAGGATTGTAGTTTTGAGCAGCCAGGAAACCCACTGTGTCCTGTCTGATTGGTTTTGGAGAAATACTTGTTGACGCTGCCAAATCTACCGGCCTTTTATTTTAATCTAAAGTGAGCTAACTACAACGTTCTATGGTAAGTTAACGATGCAACTTTAGCTAGATTGCATGTTTTTATTTGTACCCTATTATGCTCCCCTCGACATAATTATGTATCAATTGACAGCAGCAACACTAACAAAAATGATTTCGCTGGCAAGCAACAACAGCAAGGGAAATGTGAACATAGTAGTTGCCGATGATGGATACAGTGTGCTTATAATGCAGCACAACTGCAACATGATAAGAACCTTTTGTTCTCTTAACGCTGTGTATACTCGAGCCCATGGGGGTGACTTTCCATGGCTACATGTTAACAGGGATTTGTAAAGCAGCCAAAGATGGCAAGTTATTGATCGTTTGGGTGTATGCAAATCTATAAAACATTAAACCTGACAACTTATTATTGCAGCACGTTTACAGTTCATGTTGATTCTCATGCAGCTTGGCTAGCAGCTTTCCCACAGGCTTTGAGTTAAGCTAAGCTAACTGCACTGACCTACTGTATCTCTGTAGCCCACTGAATGCACAGCCTTGAAATGAATATAGTTCTGTACTATATATGTTTAGCTTGACAAACAAATGATTTTTTTGTATAAACGTGAGATTGTCCCTTTAATTAGCATCAATGAGGAGGTCGAAAGGTCATTGATTAAATAATTTTAAATTGCCTCAGTTTGTTTGATCTTACAAGTCAAAGAGCAGAGATCGATGGAACTCGTAAAATGTTGTGTGACTGGCAAGAAGTAATACATTTTTTTTTTGAGGGAAATATTAAATCTTATTTTTTCTCTCTGTCTTTGCTTCCCCTTAACCTAACCTAACCAGTTATTTTATTCCCCCCTCTTTATTCTTGCTATTATATAGAGGGGAATGATACGTCTCAGAGCAGATAGGAAAAAATGTACTGATTATCCTCATCGCACCTAAATCGTTGTAATTAGAAGGTCTGTCACCTTTTCCCCAGTTACTTCTGCTCAATGATTTTAGAGAGCCTCAGCTGTGGCGTTAGGCACTGGAGATTCATTTTCCACTTTATCCATTCTTTCTTGTGCTGCTTTGTCACACCGTAGCTGACTCGTTGATGTTGGTGCTGGAACCCAAAATGTGCAACAGTGTAGATTGATCAATGGTTTGATTTGTTGGGGTTTGTGATGAAAATTACATTCAAACTAAAAATCGGAGACATCTGAACATGTACGTTTTAAGCTGTGTCCTGATCAATAAAATGGATTCGATTTTTATGGGATTTTTCTACATTCTGTGTGGTATCACATAATCTAATTTAGACATAATTGCAACTAAATGTATTCTTCTGCACCAATAGAGCATAGCCTGAGGCAACATGTTTTCATGAGAGAACTCCCAGTTCACTGAGACTGACTGCTTTAAACCCATTCCAGTAATCACACAGCCTCATAGAGCCTTTGAAATTGGAAAGTCATTTTGTTACCAGGCAAGTTTCAAGAATTAATTATTTAACAGGTTGTGCAGGTATCAGATTGCCCTTTTGTTTTTCATGAATGCTAAATCTCTGCACAGCAGATGTTTACCTTGACCTGATAAGAATGATACATGTTAATAAGTGATCACACTAACCTTTCACACACACCAACACACACATACACACACACACACACACACACACACACACACACACACACACAAACACATTTTCATAGTGTTTCACAGATAAGATAATCCTTTAGTGATCAGGAGTGGGGAAATAAGGTTGTTGCAGCAGCACAAGGACAACATAACAGATAAATAGAAAAGGTAAAAAAATAAGAGGTATTTAAAAGTGTACAGAATATAAAATAGCACTATACAAGGGCATTTGGATAGTCACAAACAAAAGTTACAAGGTAAATTGACAGTGGTGTACTATGAATATCTTTTTGAATAATGCCACCAATTGAGATCGACTATAGAAGAATGGCAATCTGCAAAAATGGAGCTTGTCTTGCTCATAGTAACAGAAAGATGAAGTCATGAGCATAAATTCCATTGAAAGAACTGCCAACGCTGCTGCTTACTTCTAATGTATGACCTGCAACTACAGGTGCATTTTAATCCTGACAATGAAGTTTCTGCATACTTACTGAGGATAATACCAAATTCGCCCATGCAGTACAGCACTAAGAGCTGAATTGACTGTTTTTTTGGGGCACTGAGGGTTCATCTATCGTCGTGACAGTTTGACAGTTTGTCCTTTCAGTGAAATACATTATTTCTGACATTGTTTCACCAAACGGCTGGCTGAGATGCCCGGAGGTTAGAAGTTGTAAAACCAATCTCAACAGCTGTGTCTGTCAAGTGTATTCAAAGTTGCATGAAAAAGATTCACACATTGGTGGTTTTAAAAGGCAAAAATGCTATACACATGTATCAGAACTATACCTCAGATTCCACAAATATTGTTACATGCTAATTATTAAATAAATCCCGAATTACTTCAGGACCTCACTTTGTTTTACAGATGATGAGACATAGCATACCCCTGATAAACAGGCCTATTTTCCCCCAAGGGTGGGTATTATTTTGACGGTAATCACAACAGTATATCAGTTCGTATTATCAATTCGATAATCAGCCAACAACATGTAGTAACTATGATTGGTTGATTGAAGGTGTTCATTGACTTAACTTTAATGTCTCCGTTTAGTCTCTCATGCACCTTTATAACTTGTGGGTTGCTCGCTACTCTGTGTCAAAACTATTGTGGAGCCAAAAGCAGCAGGAAAACAGTAATTTCACTTGATACATAGAGATTAGACTTTCAGTGAATATTTGAACTCAAATGTCCTAATTCAATATGTCTATTATGAGGAATATGTACCATTACATTTCTTTTTTTAAAACACTCATGGATAAAACAGTTTGACGTAAATCTTAGGGGAATGCTGTCTGCAGACCAGCATGGTGTTTACTGAAATGAATGGAGTTTCTGATAGGTAGGTTTGATAGGTATGATGTGGGTTAGCATTGGGCAGTTTGAGTGACTAAAATGACCATAATGTGAATATGGCAGCTAATTAAAACACCTCAAATATAAACATAAAAAACACTTTTAGTTTACAGCAGTTCTTTTCCTTTTAGTAATGATGGTAATGCTTATAAGTGACCTTATTATCAAATTGTAACCACCAGCATTATTATTAGTATTGGTATTGATCATAGTTTTTGGTAAAAGCATAAGGATGTGACACAAAAACATTATGTACCTGATACTGCCCTGGGCCAGTATTTGTAGGTAAAGTTCTACAGCCTCTGTCAATCATGAGAGCACAGTAGAGCCTTGTGCTATCAAGCCTGAACTTTAATTACACAGGCAAAATGAGATGGATGGCAAGAAGCAATCTTTGCATTTCCATTCAGATCCTTTCAGCTGATCCAAGATTCAACACACAAGGGTGTATTCAGTTGATTGCAATATGCAACCTTACCTCTAAATGCCACTCAATTCTCAACACTGGTCCTTTGAGGTCTAAAAAAACATGTTGAATACATTTTAAAACTTTTACAAAACTAAATTTCTCAGTTTTTCAAATTAAGCATTGTTTACATCAGTGTTCAGAAGCAGCAGTCTTCTTATTCCCTGCCTTGATTGGTAAATTGCAATATATATTTCGGCATGTCAATGGTATTGGATATGGATATGGCCGTGGATATTCATGTACAGTTCTAATGCTGACTGTCAACAGTGTCTGTTTCACAGCTACCATGTCAGACACGTGAAGCTCATGGGATTGTCTTAAGTCATAAGTAAGTGAGGGCAGATCGTGTCATGACCGGACAAGCTAAAGGCCATATCATAAATATGAGCAGGATGGCAGATAGAGACTACAAACACAATGCATTTTAATTTCCCCCCTTTTCCCCCTGTGAGGACCTGTTGTTTACAGGGGAGGTGAATGCAGGTGATGTTTCCCTCCCTATAAAAATAATATTTTAGATTTTAAGCTCTATTACAGCAATATATTTTTATGCCCCTTTGGGGCAGCGTGACATGCTGACTCTGACATATTAGCGCTGACTTTGTCAGTAGTTTGGTGCTGGGCAGGTCTGCGGTACAATTATGACAACATTTTCACTGCAGCCCTCTGAAAATACTGTAGTGTTGCTGTGAGCAAATCAAAGAGTAAAATCAAAACAATAAGCTGATGCCAAATTGCTCTTAAGAGCTGAAGGGGGCTGAGCAGGCCCCCAGGGGCCTTGCCCGCCCACAGAGCTGCGTATACCACCATAGAGTCAGGAGTTTGCAGTGTTTGATCCCGTGCTCAATTAATCTCCCTGTCTTTCAGTACTTTGGACAGCACCGCCATGGTACACGTTTTTTGCATCACAATTTATAAATAATCTGAAAAGTTAAGGTAGGTTACACATTTCACATTTTTCAACGATTTAAACGTGCCAGAGTGCACAAACAGCATCAAAATAGAACTTCTTTATCAACAAAAAAAAAAATCCCAGGGGAGGACCAAACTCGACAAAGCAGACAGATAGACAGAGTCCTTGCTTTATCGTGAGACGCAAGATGGAACTACTGAGACATAAGCTAGAAACATGCAACCCAAAAGACGATTGGGTCGCATGTTTCTAGTTAGTTAGATTGGATAGGATTTATGAGTGGAAATGTCACGGTTTGGCTGGCCTGAGCAAACTGATGCGTCTTGTTTTGGTCAGTTTGTCCTTTTGTTTTTTGTCAACAAGCCAATTTTTCTTTGGAGAATACAGTCGTCATTGTCCATTATACAGGATATATTAATGATAAAAACATAATAATACACCTTTTATATCACATCAAAGAAACATACCAGGAAAGGAGTAAGCTTCACAGTTCAGGTACTATAGACACTGTGCAAGATGAGAATCAGAAAAATTACGTTAATACAACCTGCTTTTTTTCACTGTTTTTTATAACTGTAAGACGATCCTCAATTTAGGGTAGGTCAGTCATGTACTGATTTACAAATGAAGTATTTCTTACTCATAAACTCTTTTAAGTAGAAATTGAGACTGTGTTCAGGACAATATCCACAGCCTCATAGGAGTTTAAGAGAGATTCAGATTATAAATTAGAATAATAAATGACTGAGGATGTATTTTGTAAATTACAAAACTGAATTTCACAGTTAGTTCAGTTAAAACTGTTGGCTACTAGAATAAATAATGTTGAAATTCAAATGTATTGCCAAAATCATTATTATAATTCTTACTAGCCAATGGTTTTACCATGTAATAACGACGTTTGCAAAGAAAAAACACATTTGCGTTACTGTGTATATTTCTTTTTTAAATCCCACCGGATGTAGTTTTTTTTGTAAGACGTAAGCGTCGATAACATGGTCAGTAAGGAGGAGACACGTCACTTTTTACTACTTGTTCTTCCACACGTGAGGTAGGATTACAGACCTGTGAGTCTCTTGTTATCAGCCGCTATGGCTCTTATTTAATGTAACGTTGGCTAGGGTCCGTGCATGAAGTATAATGTTTCTGACATTGTTCTCGTTGTGTAATGAACAATGTCATTTTAGGGATATTGCCGAATTTCATTGGCTTAATGATGCTGCCTAAATGTGGTTAACCCTTTGCCTGTATTATTTGTCGCATTGAATGAACACGCGCAATACAATTCCTCGGACACAAACATGAGCTTGTTCCCTTATCTAACTTTAAAAATGAAAATCGATTCAAGGAAGTCGAGACCCGGAAACAGAAAGCTCGCCTTCAAAGTAAAAGTTGTGCGATTTTAAACGTGTTTGCTCCAGCGATCAATTTAAGGAGAGCTAAATGAAATAAATAAACAAATTGCCTAAATAATGAAAACAATTTATAACCGGTATGAAGTCGTATTTCTGCCACTTTCCCACAACTGATCCTGAATAAATTGGCCAATGACTGCGAACACTGGAATTATCTGTATATCAGGATTCATTAAATGATCAATTTATTTATTTAATGAATGCTTCTTATTAAACTATTTGGGTGAATGTTACAGGCTATACTGTTGAGACTTGTAATGAGTCTGACGTATTTGGTGCGTGGAATTGCATGCAAGTGTTCATTCAATGCGACAATAACACAGGGACAGCGTTAACCGTGTTAAAACCGCAATACACACGGATCAACTCTTACAACTCAGTTGCTATTTATTCAGACTCGGTATGTCACAGTTTCTATTTAACATTCAAAATGTAACTTGATATATTAATGACACCGTCCACAGTTGTGGGTGTAGTCTGTGCAGTTTGTGGTGAGCTTTTATCGCGTTTAATCTGATTGGTTCCTTCCCATAAACAAATAATAATTAATTAGTTAAAGATATCGGAAAATAAGGGACAAATCATCACACTTTCCCAGGGTCCAATATGGCATGTTTTATTTGCAAATAAACACATTAGAGAAACTGGATTTTACAAATGTCTGTTATTATTGTACTATAAATTACTTTAAAGTCATGATAAGCAAATTTTTTTTTTATTATTTGTGTTGAGGGAGAATGTTAATTTCACTATCACTCAACAATGGTTTCAAAATAAAATAAAAAAAAATCACATAATGGCAAAAATATTTAATTTGATTTCTAAAGAGGCATGCAACATGCAGTAATACACCCTTTGGCATGCATTATGCCGTAATACTGTACACCCTTTGGCAGTTTCATACTAAATTATTTATTTCAAATTATTATAAATGTGCTATAGGTTACTATGATGCTTTTGTTTTGTAAATGCCTGCTACAAAATCCTAAACATGTTTCATTTTCATTCAGCAATAATGTTATCAAAGCATGTCCAGCCCAACTTCAGCCACGCTCAGGTGGTTGAGATGGTGAAGAGACTCTTCAAGCTGACGCCATCAGAAATCCGCTCTCTGCCGAGCTACGATGACCAGAACTTCTACGTGGCGGCCATCGAGGGTGGCGAGTACGTCCTGAAGATAATGAACTCGGAGGACAGTAAGAACTCCTCCCTGATTGAGATACAGACGTACGCCATGTCTGTCCTGCACCAGAATGGACTTCCTGCTCAAACAGCCCTGCCCACTGCTTCAAGACAGCTCATGAGCCTGGAAGAAGCAGGTATGAGACCAGTCCCACAGGTCAGACCTTAGAAGTAAGAGCAATCGAGGATGTATGCATGTACTGTAAATTCTTTCAGAGAGAGAGGGCAGGTTTAACTATGCTCTAGGAATTTGACAAGTTGAGGAGGTACGCTAACATGCCATGCCGCCAGGCAAAATACCTGCTTTAGGAGGATCGAGAGCGAGGGGAATGATCGTAACACTAATCCTGTCTTTACCTTTGGCAGATTGTGGCTATGGCTGTCAGAAGTACCTGGTGAGGCTGCTGACTTATTTGCCTGGAACCACTATTTCCAAGGTTCCTTTAACACCACAGTTACTTTATGAAACGGGTAAGATGGCAGCCAGAATGGACCAAATCCTACAAAAGGTATAATAGTAGCATACCTGTGAAACTCTTACATCATTTATTTGTTTTTTAACACCATCAATGACAGCAATGTGCTGCACTATGTGAAAGTTTATTGTCTCAAGACAAAACTTCAAGATTATTTTCTAAAACTGTCTTAAGTGACAACATCTGCCACTACTGCTTATGTTTTGAATTGGAGTTATTTTGTCATGAATTTAACGACCACATGCTACTTCATTGTTGCCCATGTTTGTGTTATTTTGGAATCTAATTCAGATAATCTATATAATAAGGGACCAGCCCCTCACTGCTCATTAAGCATGACGCTTCTCTGTATTATTATTGTTTTCTTCCAGATGGAGCACCCTCATCTTGGCGTGCTGCAGAGAGAGAAGTTCATATGGAGTCTGTCCAATGTTCCCCTCCTGGAAGCATACATCAATATATTAGAGGGAGATCCTCTTGAAGAGGTTGTGAAGTCAGTCATTCATCAGTACAAGACCTCTGTGATCCCTAAACGCTCCAATTTCCGCAGGTGTGAGTATGATAGTTACTTTAAACATTTGAATAAGGGAGCTGGTAAACACTCTTCTGCTCACTTCCTTTGACACAGCTCATTAGCACCTTGTATATTTGGATGTCACTGAATGAGCGATAACATTTTGGTTCCCATTAACAACATTGTATCTCTTCTTTTTCTAAGGCATTAACCATGGTGACTTCAATGACCTCAATGTGCTTGTACAACCTGATGAGAGTGACGGCCACAGGATTTCTGGCATCCTCGACTTCGGGGACATGAACAGTGGCTACTACATCCATGAGCTAGCCATCGCCATCATGTACATGATGATGGAGCACCCTCAACCTATAGAGGTGGGTGGACCTGTCCTCGCTGGCTGGGAAAGTGTCCTTCCCCTCAATGAGGCAGAGAAACATTGTCTCTATGTGCTAGTGCTGTCCCGCTTGTGCCAGTCATTGGTTTTAGCTCGTCACTCTGTGATTTTGCATCCGGAAAATGCAGAGTATCTGATGATTTCCTCCAGGAGGGGCGTCCACACTCTCCGTCAACTCTGGGAGCTCGGGAAGGAGCAGGTGGAGAAGGCATGGTTTCAGAGTGCAGCTCAATTCAGGGACAAATTGTGAAAAATGTGTCAGGAAAAATCTTCAACGCACTGTTGCGGTATCCACCAAAAATGTTGCCTGTACCCTCTTTCACAAAGTATTAACAAATAATGTTTTTCCCCAAAAAAATCTGTTAACATTAAGTGCAATCACAACTTTGATGTTTACTGTGCAGCACACTTAATTTTACCTCCAAAAAAGCCACCACTCACTCAAAATGTGTAAATCATGTTGAAATTCTAAATGCATGTATTAACCACACACACATGTGCAGTCACCAGGTGAACTTTTTTCTAACAGGAATGCAAGTGGTTATTAGCTTTAGATTTGGATTATTCATCTTGTCTTTGCAGGATCTTATCCCCCCCCCAATGTACTGTAATGTGTTGTTGACATATGAGACGAAACATACATTTAACAAGCAGTGTGTCAAATATTTAGATGATAAACATGAGCCAATATGAGGGCATGTTGTATCTCTTTATGTCAATTAAATATTTGGAACTGCTGTGTCACCAATTTTAAACTTGCGGTTGTACAACAATGTCATTCATACATAACTCGAGTCCTGTCCTGAGGAGGTGTACTCACTGTCACATTTGCATCTTTATCTGTTCTACTGACCTCTGCAGTTGTCCAATAGATAATTCATTTGTACAGTCTTTGACCTGCATCGTAAAACATGTCTTTGTCCTACACTTGTAAAACAGGGAATTGGTCAATATAGTTACTACTTAACCCAGGTCTATAGAACAAGTGCTGACTTCAGAAAGAGCATTTAAGTAGAATCAAAAATGATTAACTGTTCTTGAAAAGCTAGAAGTCCTCCCTCTGTTATGTTTCTCAGAACTACTCGACTCTTAGATTAAAAACTCCTACTGTTCTCTGGAGGAAATGGCAGTAGGCGTATTTATTTACAGATGAAAAATAGCCTCTTGGCTAACTCTGGTGCATTTACAGCAGTGTTTTTCTCAATGTGCACTGTCCCTTATCAAATAAACCAAAAAAGAAAAAAAGAAAGGCTTACCTCCTTGTGGTGAGCCATTATGTCACTTTGTACTTTGGTGCCATATGGTACGGTGTTACATGCCAACTGTAAAACGCCCAACATACTGTGACAACCCTTCAGGAAAATTCAGTAACCTACATTAAAAAAAACATGTATTCGATTTTGATTTCCTACTGTCTAAACATGTTCTGCTTTCTGCTGCCGAGTCAGATACTCCAGTTATTAGTTTTATGTTTGCTAATTTATTGCTAGAAATAATGACACCACATTAGTTTTGAAGAAGTTCCTCATGCTCTCTGACTGTAAACATATCTTGGTTACTTTGAAAAATGATAATTTCACAAAATATAATGATAGTCCTCTATTGTCATATTTAGCCTACATTATTAACGAGCAAGGTCATGGTTATATGCAACTACTACTACTATTACTACTACTAAACAAATACAGAAATCTCTTAAAACTGCAGATGCAGTTTGAAACTATAAAACAGTGACCTGATGTCATTTCATTGTTTGCTGGTAGGAGGTTAATTGAACTAACTCTTTACCACAGTCGAGTTGTAGCTCATGTTCAAAAACTCTTTTTAAAACATCAAAGCTTTCCATTTTCTGACCAAGGAGCTTCATTAAGTTTACATCTGACATTTTTGACATTTTCTTTTAATTCTGAGCATCAATTCTTTCTCATATTTAGTCATGTATTATTTTTGTACCAGCCTCCTGGGTGGCCAGCAGAAGATCTCACATTTCATGGAATTTATATGTTTGTTTTGTTATTGGTGGTGTGATTGCGGTTTGTAACTGTTTGTATCTGTTTTTATGCTTCTTGGATAATTTATCCATTTGATTTGACTTAAACCTGCTGTTGTGTTTTGGAGGCGATTGAGAGCACATGGCTGCAGGAAGGGGGGCGATTTCTCCCTGTGTCCAAAAGTTATAGCCATAACAAATTAATAATGTGCTTTGAGAACTTGTCAGATCAGCTGTTTTAGTACGCTCCTGTCTTCATAGCCGTGGATAAAATCTAGTGTAAAACTGCCCTCGTGTGGTCCTCATAAGCTCCTGCTTCCAATGGAGGCTTGACTGATGACAAAAAATAAATAAAAATCTGACCCTTTATGGGTATTAGTCATGTATTATAATTGCTGTAATCGACTTTCTGGCCAAAAGCATATGTGGTATTATTTTTATGAAAAATCTAGTCTGTCTACCAATAATTTAAAAAGTACAGAACCATAAATTGATGGCAAAGATCTCTTTCCCAAAGCTTGTCAATACAGTATCTCAGTATGATAAATAGAAGTCATAATGCTTCACCTGTATTGAGGACATGTCTTGACAATAGAGAGGAAAGTGGTTATGTTGCTTGAGGCTCCTACAGTTATTCCATTGACGCTATGATAACAATGACAATTGATGGTATTACAAAGTAAATGATCTCAGAGTTTCACAGGTCTGTATGTTACTATTTTACCTCTCGTAGGATTTAGTCCATTCTGGCTGCCGTCTTGCCAGTTTCATAAAGTATCAGATGTACTACTTCACTGCAGACAACAGTGGTCTCTGTCAGTGATCAGGAACCTCATTGTTTCACGATTTTACACAGCAGGGAAGTTGGAATTAAAGATATTCTGTAAACCAAATTATATGTTTTTAGCCTTTATCAGGAATTTAACTTTGTCTCCGCCGGTGACACTGATGTAAAATGTTTTGAGCCTGTTTGACTGGTGCCTGTAGATACATGATAAACCGGTTCAAGCTTGTTCGAGGCTTGTGTGACACCCTTTCCCCTTCACTTCTTCACATTTTCTGCTGAGAGACGGACGATGGGTAAGTGCACATATCTGTTAAATTACTGGAAAATAAAACCCATTAAAAACTCAAATATTCTCATTTAGTTAAACTTAATGAATTTTCTAACACCCGCTATAACGAATATTGATCATAATATTTGGTACCCTAATGCATTATAACATCTAAATAGAAAATAATGCTCTCAAGTGCTCTCTTATGCATTTAATGTGTTGTCACTCTGTTATGCTGTTCATTCTGTACACATGACATATTACACTTCTGTCCATCCTGGGAGAGGGATCCCTCCTCTGTTGCTCTCCCTAAGGTCTCTTCCTATTTTTCTCCCTGTTAAAGGGTTTTTTGGGGGGAGTTTTTCCTGTACCGATGTGAGGGTCCTGGGACAGAGGATGACGCATGTGTACAGATTGCAAAGCCCTCTGAGGCAAATTTGTGATTTTGGGCAAAATGAAATACAAAATGAATTGAATTGAATTGAATAAAGTTTGTTGTAACGCTGGCTACACAGAACAACAAAAACCCAAAAGGCACAGCATGAAACCGCATGTAAAGTGTAATTCCAAAATCGTCGATCCAATTTCAGGCAGGCAGCAACAAACAAGAAGTAAGGAATGCTGGAACGATCAGGGTAGAGCAAAAGAAAATATGGAATACTTCTCTCTTTTTCTTCAATACATTTATCTGACAGCTTGAAGTGAAGATTATGGTGTATAAAACATAAAAATATAGTATAGTTGAATTGATTAGTTGATTGCCATAAAATTAATTGGAAACTATTCTGATTGTCTAAAATAATTTATTATGGAAGCACATTTCATGGCTCCAGCTTATCAAAATTGAAGACTTCTGCTTTTCCTTTTCATTTATTTATATTGTAACAAATTAGAATTTTGGACTATCGGTGGAACTAACATTGTGAACCTGTCACTATTTTCAGAATATTTACAAACCAGCGTCAATCAACTAATGCAGAGGTAGCCAACACGGTGCCCGCGGGCATCTGGTTGTGAGTCGCCCAAAGAGTTAACCCAAATCCAAACAAATGCTAGTTATGACCCATATATATACAGTATATTTTTTGTTTTTGTCCATATCTGGTGGATGGGCTAACAAGTTTTCTTTATCAACCTAAAAGCAATATTGTTTAAGAGTTGTCCTACCCAAGAGGTCATTGAAGTTTTATATACCTAAATACCTCTGCACTATGGGAACAGATATCAGAAATAAATGGCTGGAATTTGGCTTATCTCAAATGAATGTATAGTTTTTCACTAAAGCACATTTAGAGGCATAAAGGTCCTAAGTTTGTCTGTGGTGTCTTTCACAGGAATAATACATGGGGACTTAAATGACCTGAACATCATTGTCACACCAGTAGACAACGGGCGCCATGAGGTGTCAGGCGTGCTGGACTTCTCTCTGCTCATGATTGATTGCTATGTATTTGAAGTGGCTGTAACAATTGCGTACATGATGCTGGAGAACCCCAGTCCTTTGGATGTAGGTGGAGCAGTGTTGGATGGCTGGGAGAGCATCATGGTGCTCAGTGATGAGGAAAGGGATTCCCTCTTTCTGCTGGTGCTCGGCCGGTTGTGCCAGTCTCTGGTTTACGGCCGGTACAATGCCACAAAGTACCCAGACAACAAATATCTCCTGACTACAGCCAAAAGTGGGACTCTGCTTCTTACTAAACTGTGGGAGATGGGCAAGAAAGATGTAGAAAGGAAGTGGTTCACAGATGCTGGCACATTCTCAGACAAATAATAAAGTTTATCAATGGATAAGCATGAGAAAAATAAAGATTTGCATTTACAAAGAATATCTGAACTGCAGCTTTTTCAGATTTTTAAAATACATTCTTCTGGAATTTCACCATATTTGAATCAAATATTTGACACTTTATACAATTGTTGGAACCACTTCCTCAACAGGCACCCAGGAATTGCAATTAATGGCTTTATAGAAGGCCATTAATGCAAAATATTCTCTTATTGTTGGAATGCTGTTAAGCATTCCAATAATAAGGATAACAATATATTGTTATCCTAATCTTTATTCTTCTTTTTATTATTATATTTCTTCCGTCCCACCTCTCCTGCTCCTTCATATTTTAAGCTACAGAAACCGTTCAACTATCAAAATGTTCAGCTCTTTAATGACATTTATGCTATGACTTTTCATATTTCTATCTCTTATGCTTCATGAATTATTAAGCTTTTTGCAATTTTTATTTTGAATGGGATTTCAATGGAGAAAATGTTCAAATCCTCTTAAACTTCCAAATCCTTCAACTTCCTCATATTTTCAGCTACAGACACCATTTCAACTTTAAAATGTTGAGAAAACCCTGATCTATTGCCACATTATTCAGCATTTGTATATCTTTTACACTTTCTGAACTGCAGCAATTTAACTTTTATGATTTTTCAGCCCTTTTCTGACTTTATAATGGGTGTGTATTGCGCAGCTTAGAGTGCGTGATGTCACCGCTAGAGTGAAGAGCAGCTTGAGATTCTTGCGAAAAAAACATTTGTATTTTGCCACTGTGTCCACAATCTTCACTCTTCATGCATAATTTCTGGACGTAGAAGTAGCTAATCTTGTCCTTGTCGTAGACAAATGACTGTGGAATCCCACAGATTTACACATTTGGCACAGAAGCCTGTAATTGAGAGGAAAACCAACTTTCTGCTCCATAGAGACCAATGTTAAATTTGGCTTCAAAAACATCTTCCACGGAACACGGTACCCCATTTCTAGATCGCCAGTTCAGCCACATTTTTTACACTACAGACACAATTTTTACAGGATCTGTTCTTCAACTCATCCTTCCTCTCAATTATTAATATCAGAGCAATAGGAGCTATGGTTATGGGAGTTTTGAGGATTTGTTTGAGAGGTGTTTTCCTGTTTTATCTCCATGAAAAGGCTGCAAGGACACAGGTGTTTCTGATTAAGCTAATTAGTGATGTTGATAAACACAGAGAGGCACTGGCACAAGCACATACACTCCTCCCCCTCTCTCTCTGTGTGTGTCTCTCTCTCTCTCTCTCTGTGTGTCTCTCTCTCATACAGTCATTCAGGTCTTGGAGACTTTTAGAGGACCCCCCCCCCCACACACACACACACACCCCATTTCAAAATACAACCCCCAAAGAGTGAATTCTAACTGAAATGCTTGTGATGAAGCCTGGCATTTAATAACCTCTGTTTATGTGTGTGAAACATTATGATTATGTCTCCTCTCCCCCTCCCCCCCCCCCACACCCAGCCCCACCCTTTCAAAATAAAAGCCCCATGGTTTAACTGTATTTAAACAAGCTCAAAATTAGGCTTTTTTGTTAAAAAAAATGAATGCTCTTACTAATACTGCGACAACTACTACTGCTGCTGCTAATATAGTAATACTACTACTGCTACTACTACTACTACTTCTACTATAACTTTTGCTGTTGCTACTATTACTACTACTGCTATTACTGCTACCATCAATATTATTACTACCACTACTGCTATTACTACCACTACTACTATTACTTATACTACAACTGCTACTACTACTACTGCTATTCATGCTACTAAAAGTAGTAATACTACTACAGCTATTAGTACGACTTAATACTTCTACTACTAATAATACTTCTACTACTACTACAAATATCACTACTGCTACAACTAGTACTTATTCTAATGCTACTAATACTTCTACTAATAATACTTCCACTACAACTTCTACTACTACAAATATCACCACTGATGAAATTTTTTAAGCCACAGAAACCATTTTAATATCAATGTTCAGCTCTTTCAGGAGAGGAGTGATATGACTTTTCATATTTGTAATCTTTAAACTTTTTGAATTATTAAGCTTTTTGCATTTTTTTTAAAAATTGGATATCTATTTTCAGCAATGTTTATGCAATTCATTTCAGCTTTCAGCATTCCAACGCATTTTCAGCAGGAAATGCATTTTCTAGTTTTGAATGGGATGTCTATGGAGAAAATTTCAACTTTCAAATCTTTCTACTTCCTCATACTTTCAGCTACAGGCACCAGTTCAACTTTAAAATGACTTTAACTTTTATGATTTTTTCAGCCCTTTTCTGACTTTATAATGGGTGTGTATTGCGCAGCTTGATGTCACCGCTAGAGTGAAGAGCAGCTTGAGATTCTTGTGAAAAAAACATTTGTCTTTTGCCACTGTGTCCACAATCTTCACTCTTCATGCATCATTTTTGATGGAGAAGTAGCTAATCTTGTCCTTGTCGTAGACAGATGTCTGTGGAATCCCACAGATTTACACATCTGGCTCGAGGAGCCGCAGAGCGACATGAACTCCAACAAACTGCTCCATTAGACTCCATGTTAAATCTGACCACTCATTTCTCAAACAAAGCAGACGGTACCAGTTTTGTCTATTGCTCTGGAGCTCACATTTTTAACACCACAAACATAAAAAACACATTACCGCGTTCGGCAGAGTCTTATCTTTCTCACAGTATCCATATTTTGGCACTCAGACTCCTGCTTTTTGTTTAAAAGGGCTTTGTTCAAAATCACTGTTTACTGTAATGTTTCTTAATCAGTCTGCCTCTAACACCAGGTGCGTCGTCACCATGGCAACCAGTTACACACGCACGCAGGCTCTCTCTCTCTCTCTCTCTCTCTCTCTCTCTCTCTCTCTCTCTCTCGCTCTCTCTCTCGCTCTCTCTCTCATACAGTCATTCAGGTCTGAGAGATTTTAAGAGGACTTTCCACCCCCCCACCCCATTTCAAAATAAAAGCCCCAGAGAGTGAACTCTACCTGAAATGCTTGTGATGAAGACTGTCATTTAATAACCTCTTTTTATGTGTGTCAAACATTATGATTATGTCTCTTCTCCCCCACCCAGTCCCTACTGCTACTACTACTACTACTGCTATTCATGCTACTGCAAGTAGTATTACTACTACGGCTATTAGTACAACTGCTACTAGTACTACTACTACTGCTACTTCTTCTACTGCCATTACTATTACTACTATAACTACTTCTACTACTACTACTACTGTTATATTAAATACTACGATATTACTACGACTACTGATACTACTACTTCTTCTAATTACTAATACTTCTGCTACTACTAATACTTCTACTACAACTACAACTTCCCCTACTACAAATATCACTACAGGACTTTTCCCTTTGAAAATGTTCAGCTCTTTCAGGAGAGGGGTGCTTTGACTTTTCATATTTGTAATCTTTTAAGTTTTTGAAATATTAAGCTATTTGCAATTTCTTTTTAATGGGATCTCTATGGAGAAAATCTTCAAATCCTGTTAAACTTCTTCAACTTTCAAAGACTTCTTCTCATACTTTCAGCTACAGACACCATAGTTAGACATTTCAAGTAGAAGGGTTTTCAGCAGTGCAGTTTAAATGCTTTCGGGCTTCAACATTTTTCAGACAGGTAGTCTCCCATTTCTTAATTTTCAGTAATTATTTTACAATTAATTTCAGCTTTCAGCATTCCAACGCATTTTCAGCAGGAAATGCATTTTGTAGTTGGTTTACGTCCTCCTCTAGAATAGCATGACCCTTTTGATGTCATTAGGATCTCGTCAATGGACTAGACTTTTATTAACAAGTTGTGAACATTTACTACTACAGACGAGGTGGACTATTAAAGGAACCTTTTATTAATGTCCTCTTAACTTTTTGAATTACAGATTACTTCCAAAAAATTGCCTCTAGCTCATTAGAAATGAGAAAGCGAGTATCTCTTATGGTTATGAATGCAGGACTTATAATTGAGCATTTTTTAATTGTGTTGTTGCTATAAAGTATCTGAATACTTTTTCCGCACATGTAACTATTGTACCAGACGCATACAGACAATAAAGCTATTAAAAAAATAAGTAATAAGCTTCAATATTAAATATCAATCAAGTATAAACCCAAATAAACGGTTTGCTTTCTAAGGAATAAAACAGGAGACTAAATAGTGCTTCCACCATACTATCTATTTCTGGTCATTATTTAAGATGGACTTAAACACAAATTGGCCAAATAAACAGTTTTCCACCTTAAAAACATCATATCAAAAATTAATTTTGCATTAAAAATGAACAAATAGTATGTAGACTGCATGACAGTGCTGTTTGCTCCCACATTTAAATGAAATGTCTGCATTTTTACTTTCCAGGCACAAACCGGGTATTCAACAAGCTGATGTTAATGACAACACACGATAACTGACCTCTCTTTGTTCAAGAACATTTGCTGTTGACTTTCAGAAAGCTGTGGTGCTAAAACAAATAAAAAAGAGCACTAGATGAACACTAGATGGAGACATCATCTCATTTATCCCACATGCCCTTCTTCTGAACGAGTCTTTCAGAGTCACATTCACCTTAAAAAACCTTTGAATCCTAATTTGGGCAAACTTCAATCATTTCCTCTGACAGTCCTGAGAGGTAAATGTAGGGACTTCATACAGTATCTTCTGTTGACATTATAACAATTGTTGTGTATGGAAAGCTCGTGAGCTAAGGCAAACCTCTTCAAACGTGTGGAAATATGCCCTTAGACAGAGCCTTATGTGAACACTCCCAACACCACTAACCTTCACACACACACACACACACACACACACACACGCACTCACACACGCACAGACACACACGCCTCGTCTACCTTTCTACATTTCAACCTCCCACCTCAAAGGCACCATCTGCCCTCTGCCCCCGCTGCAACTCGCAATATGTACCTCCAGTCATGT